AAATTAACAGCGTCATCATGGAGGAAAAAACTAAAAAATGCTCATTTTATAATGCCCACAAAGGTGTAACAATAAACAATGTCAGCCCTGGACCATGAAAGGTGATTAAGTGCATTTTCACGGGCTAAAACAGTGGCCCGGGTCGATTGTTTGACCCCCTCAGCTGAGCTGAGGCCCCCACGCTAAACAGATGGTGCTATTCACAGTCACAGAAACAAAGAAAAAGAGGAGAAAAGACAGTAATCGGGACCCCTGCATGAAACTATCACTCGTTTATCCCTAGTTTATTCTTTCTGTACGCTGCTCAGGCTTTCTCCTGGCGCTCTTTGTCTATATTTGGCACGAGGAGCCAGAAGCAGAAGCTATAAATATCCGGCGGTGAAGTTTAGGGAGGTTCACGCATGAACTCGGGTCAAAAACTCACTGCCTTAAAATGCAATACGGCTGCACAGCTGACATGCTTTTATTATACAGTGTCCCATTTCACACAGAGACAGACTGTCTGCTTTCTAGGTGTATACAGTTGGGCATTAATCTAAGAGAACAAAATAATCCAAGCAGTACTTCCAAGCAGTATTTCTCTCCAGTGTTCGTCTTGTTTACAGATTTCAATGCAAACTGATCTAAATTGTGTTCAGGAAGATCTACGCTCTTAAAAGGATAGTTCACCCATTGTTGTCATAATTTGTTCACCCTTTACTTGTTACGAACCTTTATGAGTTTCCTCCTATTTTACCAGTAAAGAAAAAAAATTGTGGCCGTTGACTTTCATAGCTTTTTTTTTTTAATATGTAAGTCAATGGTTACAGGTTTACAGCTTTCTTCAAAAAATCTTCTGTGTTTAATTGAAGAAAGAAACTCACAAAGGTCTAGAAGAACTTAAGGAAAAATAAATATTGAGTATTTTGTGAGCCATCAACAATAAAGGTTTCAGAAGTTTTCATAGTAATGCAAGAGAGGAACTATTTCTGATTATTAAAATGCCCTTAATTTTTTAAAAGCCCCTATTTTGCTCCTGGTTTTGTTATAGAGGCAGTGTTGGGCAAACTGCTTGAAAAATGTAGTAGAAAAACTGCAAAATTCTGTCATCATTTACTCGCATTTTAATTGTTTCCAACCAGCTTCTTTCTTCTATTACAGTGTACAGAAAAGAAAGCTGGAAACTTGTAACCACTGACCTTTTTCCTACTATGGAAGTCAATGGTTACAGGTTTTTAGCTTTCTTCAAAATATCTTCTTTTGTGTTCAACAGAAACTCACAAAGGTCTGGAAGCACTTGACGGAAAGTAAATAGTGAGTATTCAAAAGGTTTAATTTTGTGAACTATCAACAATAAAGTTTTAAAAGATTTTATAATGCAAGAGATGAACTATTTTCGATTATATTGTATAAATGCCCCTATTTTTGCTCCTGGTTTTGTTATGGAGGCATTGCTGGGCAAACTGCTTGGAAAATGTACTGAGCCAAGCTAACAGTTACTCTCAATCGAAGGGACAGTTCACCCAAAAATAAAAAATTCTTTTATCAATTACTTGTTGCAAACATGAGTGTTTTTTCTGTTAAACACAAAAGAAATTTTGAAGAAAGTTGGAAACCTGTAGCCATAAAAAGCTTTTTGATTAAGGTAATAAATGCATGCCGGACTGTGCTGAACCATATCACTTAGGCCCCGTTTACACTAGTGTGTTTTAGTTTGAAAACGGCATTTTAGATCAAAAACGATCCGCGTCCACACTAGCGTTTCACCTAGCGCTTCTGAACATATCTCCATCCACACTACGCCACCAAAAACGTATATCACGTGACCATTCGCGCACTCTGGGCATGCGCGTTCTAGCGAATATATGCCGCTGCTGTAGTAAAAAAGGCAGAGTTTAACTGCACAATGGCGCCTAAAACAGACAATAGTGCAAACAACGCTCCCATTTCTGTGTCCATGTTGTTGTTTACATTGAAGGCTGGTCTGCTGTCTTCCGGTAGCGTTAAAGCCATGTGTTATAGTCATGTGATAGGGGCTGGACGAATAAGGGAAGGATCCGCAATGACACAAAAGCCCCAATCAGCTAGCGAATCTCAGCAGCCCCGCCTCCGTTTTCAGATGTCTCCGTTTTCCTTCATCCACACTGAGACGGAGCAGCAGCGTTTTAGAATGAAAAGGCCTCTCCAGCGTTTCCAAAACGCTACGTTTTCGGCGCTCGAAAACTCCGGCGTAGTGTGCACGGATGCCGTAACCGTAGCAAAACTTATTTGTTTTCAAACTAAAACGCATTAGAGTAAATGGGGCCTTAGTAAAACGAGCCATTGCATTCACAGCTACACTGCACAATACATGAGAGGTATTTGGAGATAAGTGCAGGAGATAAGATATAGGCGATCAAATTTATATTTACATTTTGACAATGTTTTTGATTGATTTCCGTACATCTCAGGGCCATTTCTGTCTATGGAGGCCTCTGATTTCATCTAAAATACCTTAATTTTTGTTCTGAAGATCTTTCAAAAGGATAGCCCAGCCAAAAAACTTAAAACCGCCATAATTTACTTGATCAGATCTATTTGAGATTCTTTCTTCACACAAAAGAAGATATTTTGAAGAATGCTGAGACTAACTGACTTCCATATCTAATAAAATTGCAAAAAAGGTTGATGGATGCCAACAACAAGCATTCTTCAAAGTATCTTCTTTTGTGTTCAACAGAAGAAAGAAACTCAAATAGGTTTCAAACCACATGGGGGAGAATACGCAATAAGGTCATTTTCATTTTTGGGTGAACTATCACTTTAAATTTTCCACACTGAACCATACATGCATATAAAGTGTATGGTAATTTCTTTGTGTCCATATAAATTCTCCTGCACTTGAACTCTTCACACCTCTTTCCTGATTTTAGTGGGAAACGACTGGAATCTCGACCCAAATCCTGTAATTTTCATTTTTGGGTGAACTATCCCTTTAAAGTTTCAGTCCTGAATCATACATGCATATAAAGTGTATGGTAATATCTTTGTGTCCATTTAAATTCTCCTGCACTTGAACTCTTCACACCTCTTTCCTGATTTCAGCAGGAGAAGATTGCAATCTCGACCCAAATCCTGTTGAAGAAACAGGAATGCTAGGAAGCTCTTGAGCTCATCCAGGGCAGATAAGGAGCAGCGGACGGTCTCTTATCAGCCGTACACAAACCCTCGACCGCTCAGTCTGTCCTGGACTCACATCACATTCCTGAATGCTGATCTCATCTCCTGCAGCCCTGCCAAAACTACATCTAAGACAACACCACTCACCCGGAAAACCTGCGCAGGAGAATCCATGCAATAAACTGTGCTGATTTAGCATACACAAAGGTTTTAGGTTGACAGATTTACTTCGATAAAAGTTTTTTTTTGCAAGTTGTTTTGTTTATTGCATGCTTTAACTGGAATATGGCATAGTTATTAGACTAATAAATGTATAATTGTATATTAGAGAATTACAGCCAGTGTTATTTTAGCATTTAGTATACATTTTCAGTGTTATTTTAATATCACTCTAACTCACAATATATAATATATTTAAATGTGTATATTATATTTTATATATTTGCAATATAATATATTTGAAACATTTTATATTTCACATTTTTAATTGTTGTATAATTAAATACTGTAATGTTTGTCTTATTTTATAAATATCAGTGTAGTGTTTTTAAGCTGCTGTAAAAAAAATAAAAATAAAAAAGAGTATATTTAATTTAGGTAAAATAAATAAGAATAAAATAAAACATAACTAAAACAAACTACAGATGCAGATATTTTAAAATACGCACACAGTTTTTTAGTAATTCTGTTAATTGTTAGCATATATACATACATGCATATACAGTTGAAGTCAGAATTATTAGCAATATTTCAATATTTTTATTATTAGAAACATTCACAGACATTCACTTGGAAATACACTTTTTTAAACATAAACATAAAACTTACATTCTAACAATTAAACAATTGAAATTAAAATAAATAAAAATAAATTAATAAAAAAACAACAACAATGAACAACAGTCATAAAATAATAATTAAACAAAAAATAATAATAAACGTGCATTCTTCAACCAACCACCCAGCAGTGCTATCCAGCAATAAACGTAGGAACCAAAGGCATAATAAACATATTAATCAAAAGTTTGTAAAAAGGGACTACATTTTTTGAAATAACAAAGCCCTGTCTGTTAGGGTAAATTAGATTTTTTCCAGATGTAATGTACCTGATAACTCTGTCAGTCATAATTCAAGAGTTGGAACTTCTTTTTTCCTTCAAAACAAAAGCATAAGTTTTTTTTGGCAGAGATCAACCCGTATGAAACAAACTGTTGTTGTACCCGTGAAAGTCTCAAAAATTCTTCAGACACTCCAAATATAATTAATATAGGATCTGGTTCAATCAGAATGTCTAATGTAACTAAACAAAATTGAAATATTTAGTTTCAGAAACTCTGTAATTTGGGACACATAACATAGAAATGAGACCGGTTGACATCTAAAATCTGACATTTGTCACACACTGGGGACACTTCTGGAAATATCTTATTCAATTTACACTTGTAATAATGAAGCCTATGAAGCACTTTAAACTGAATGATACAATGTCCTGCCTTGATGAAACATCTGTGAGCAACTTCAAGACTTTGTTCCCAAATTTCACTTTTTTTTTTTTTTTTACTTTTTAAAATATGTTTTGAACATTTACATAATTAAATATTATTTTTTGAAATACAAATATTTATATTAAACTTCAATTTTGTATATAAAAAAAAGCTTCAGTAATTTTAATACATTATCCTAAAATTTTTTTTAATTGCCAGTGAAACATTTCTAACTTAATTTTATTCAATTTAATTCAAGCTTAGTTCATTTACCTGCAACATTGCATTAAATTTAACAGGCAGAGCCAAGCTAATCACAAAACTGTAATGATATAACATGCAAAACATTAGCAAACAAACAAAAAAACTATACAGTACCGTCATAAACACCAGGCAGGTGAGATTTGTCAATATCGGTTTCCGCCATGGCTGAATCCCCCCAGTCTCACAGTCTCATGATGTGGAAACCTGCAGCATCAAACACGACAACATCAGAAATGGCATTCACATGAGCCTAAAAATAGTTCTGCGTGCTTCTAGCATCACTAGCACAATTCCTTATCGCTGTCAAACACTGGAAGCCATCAGTAAGAGCTTCAATACAACATGCCAGCCTAAATCTAATCTCCATAAATCCCGGAACAATAACACACATTGTGTGGAGGATGAAGACGCTGGCAAAGTTCTCACTTCCTCCAGAGTTTAATTAGAGATTTTGAGCTATTAATAATCTACATTTAGGCAACTATTTTTGAGTATCTATAACACAAAAGCACAAATATAATCTTTTCAATTAACTCAATTCAATTTAATTCAGCTTTATTTGTATAGCGCTTTTACAATGTAGATTGTGTCAAAGCAGCTTCACATAAATGTATATATTTATAAGTAAGTATATATAAAAGTATAATCAAATACAGATATCAGTCACCACATAAATACCATGTTTATGCAAAATGTTGCAATATAATGAAATATGATATAAAAACAGCATGCTATCTTACTGAAGTGTACTCTATTATCAATACAATATGGTAGTGATGTAAACAATAATATCAGACAAATCATACGGGAAAGTGAATGCATAATTTATTAAAAACATAACACAAAGGTAACCCTGACTTTGAATCAAAAACAAACTTTTTGTCTTAGGATTAACAGCTGCAAAGAAAAGAATCAATAGTTCCTGGTTCCCTCCTAATCTCCTGTCAGTTCAGCAATGGTTACACTATTTAATAGGCATTGTTCGACTAGAACAGTCCACTGCCAAATTAACAAAGCAAAGATTTCAACAATCCCTTATTGGAACCAAATACATAATTTGATCTCCATTATTAAAACTTCAGTGATTTAATTTAACATAGGAGAAACAATTAAAATGTCTCAGGATATAGGTGACAACAAACTATCTTTTTTTTCTGTTTGATGTTTTAAAATAATTTTAGTAGACACTTTTTTTCATTTATGTACTTCTCTGACATTCTGTATATAGTTTTTTTTTCTCTTATATTTATTTACAGGTTTCTGTATGCATATGAGCAATTCCGTGTAAATGTCAACCTTGCCATAGAAAAATTATGTTTTTATCAAAATACGGAAACCGTTTCTGGGTTTTTTGTGTAAGCAAGTATTTTACAGTACTTTAAAAATACTCAAAAATGCATCTGTCAATGTTTTCAAACTATTCTATTTGATTTACCAAAGTCGGACAAATGGTAATTTCACATCCGTCACATCCATAACGGAGAGATGTCACATCCATAACAACACTTTTTCCTCAGAAATGTAAAAATATTAAATACAATAAAACCATTTTTGTTTTATAGAGCCAACTCTTATCATTTTGATTAGCGTTATTTATTTTGGGTTGAGAAGTTTAATTCACAGGATTTCTACAAAGTGTGTTGTATACTGTAAACTCACAGACTTTTTTGTCACATCCATAACGCACGCTTATTTTCCTCATTTAAAGTACAAAACATGTTTACAGATTGATATTTTTATGCTCCCATAACTCTGTGGCTAGTTGCTCTGGAAAATATAATTAAATTTTTCAATATAATGTTAACATATACTTTCTCTGTCAATTTATGTGTTGAGTTTTTACTGCAAATGTCACATCCATAACGCTGGAATTGCTCATATATGTATATATTCATATATATGTGTGTTTGTTTGTGTACATGTATCATTTGTAATTTTTTATTTTTGTTTCATACTGTTATCAACCATGCTATACACATTGAACCAAGTCAATGTTGAGACATTCACTAATTTAAAACTGTTGAGAAATTCATTAAAAACACAATAAAGTTTAAGTAAAAAAAGAAAATAACATAACAAAAATGTTTTAAGTCTAAGAACTTGGTCTAATATTGTCCTCCAGAATGTCCTTCACAGTAAAACATGAATATCTAGGTCAAACTTTTAGTGTTCGTGTTGGTTTCCAGACTCACAAACAACCACAGTGAACTTATTAAACAATTACACGGTCTGCTTTTGAGTTGTGTTGTTGACTTGCACGTAAACAGACTTTATTGTACATCTATATAAAGTTTTATCGATGTAAACAATAGTTCAGAAAATAATGAAAACAAACTTACCCTCTTCTGTCACTCCAGACACGCGCAGACCCGTGAAAGTCGCGTCTCATTCACGCACACACACACAAACACATAGACGGTCAGGCGTGACACACGACAAAAGACACGCACACTCTCGTGTTTTGTTGGACTGCAGTCAATCACAGCATCCTCTTCTCTCCGGTCTGAGCTCTGTGTCCGCTGTTCTTCATGTTTCCACAGTTTTTCTTCACTCAATGACAGTTTGACTTTGGCTGCTACTTTTGTTCTCAGTCAAAACAAAGAGAATGATGTAGAGTTTCTCACGCGCCTCCATCGCCGTCTGCTGGTCATTCGGATTACTTCAAAGACTTTGCTCCTGTTTTTTGAGCATTTCTACATGCTTATTATCGGTGATAGAATTGTTAAACACAATTAGGATTTTAATCAACCCCGCTGTTAGGATTTATGCATAGGCATATACATATTTAAGTCTATGATTTAAGATTTACTGCAGTGATTAATATGTTTATTTGTTTATGAAATTATTTTAATCCTTAACTGATGTACTGTCGTAGGCTACTCGTATGTAGCTTTTATTTTTTAACAATTGTGTTAAGCTAATGGTCAAAAATGACCATGACCACTTGTAGACAGACAGACAGACTGACAAAAAACAAACAAACAGATGGATAGACAGAAGGATGAACAGGCAGATGGCTAGACTGACAGACAGACAGATATATAGTCAGACAGACAGATTAATAGACAGAAAGACGGACAGTTATATAGAAAAACAGATAGACAGATAGAAAGACAAGCAGATGACTAGATAGATAGAGTGACGAACAGAGATAGACGAACAGACAGATAATTGATAGACAGACAGACCGACAGACAGACAGACGAATAGGTAGACAGACAGTTGGCTAGACAGACAGACGGACAGATAGACAGACAGAGAGACAGATGGACAGACAGACAGAAAAAAATAGATAGATAAAGACAGACAGACAAATGTTCAGACATACAGACAAACAAGATAGATAGATGAATAGACAGAGATGGATAGACAGACAGACTCACAGAGAGAAAATGGACAGACAGACAGACAGACAGACAGACAGACAGACAGACAGACAGATAGATAGACAGACAGTTAGATAGACAGACAGTTAGATAGATAGATAGATAGATAGATAGACAAATACACAGAAGATGGATCGACAGACTGACAGACAGACAGATAAATAGGTAGACAGATAGATGGCTAGATAGAAAGACAGACAGATGGACGGACAGATAGACAGACAAACAGACGACTAGACAGATAGACAAACACAAATAGGCAGACAGAAAAACAGATAGAGAAACAAATAGACAGACAGACAGACAGACAAATAGACGAATAAAGAGAACAAACAGATGACTAGATAGATAGACAGAAAGACAGATGTACGGATAAACAGACAGACAGACGGAAGGACAGATAGACAGATGGACAGACAGATTGATAGATGACACAGACAGACAGGAAGACAGACTGGTGGATATATGAACAGACTGACAGACAAACTGACGGACAAACAGACATAAATGGACAGACAGAAAAACAGATAGATAAATGAATAGACAGAGACGGATGGACAGACAGACCCACAGAAAGAAAACGGATAGATAGAAGAACAGACAGACAGACAGACAGACAGACAGGCAGGCAGGCAGGCAGGCAGATAGATAAATAGATAGATAGATAGATAGACAGACAGACAGACAGACAGACAGACAGACAGACAGACAGACAGACAGACAGACAGACAGACAGACAGATAGATAGATAGATAGATAGATAGATAGATAGATAGATAGATAGATAGATAGATAGATAGATAGATAGATAGATAGATGAATAGACAGATAGACAGAAGAATAGGCAGAGAGATAGACGGATAGAAAGACAAACAAATGACTAGATATATAAACAGACAGACAAATAGACAGAAAGGCAGACAAACAGAAAGACAGAAGTATTGAAAAATAAATAGACAGACAAATGGACGGATGGACAGACAGATTAACAGATAGATAGACAAATAGACAGACGGATAGACAGAGGCTCACAGAGAGAAAAGGGACAGACAGACAGACAGACAGACAGACAGACAGACAGATAGATAGATAGATAGATAGATAGATAGATAGATAGACAGACAGACAGACAGACAGACAGACAGATAGATAGATAGATAGATAGACAGACAGACAGACAGACAGACAGACAGACAGACAGATTAGTAGGTAGGTAGACAGATAGACGGATAGAAAGACAAAGACAGACAGAGGAATGGACAGACAGACAGACAGACAGACAGACAGACAGACAGACAGATAGACAGATAGATAGATAGATAGATAGATAGATAGATAGATAGATAGAGACAGGCGGACGGACAGAGGAATGAACATATAGATAGGCAGACAGACAGACAGACACACAGGATGGATGGATGTCCATCTTGCAGAGGCAGCAGAAATAAATGAGATTGACACGCTGTCCTGAGGCCAGAATAGCTCTCACCTTTTACACCATTAAGAATATTGGTCACACGTTCGCGTCTGCACCTCCTGTCCGTCCCGTTTTTGAGCGTCTTAAAATAGAAGACGTCAAGATGCAAGACTCGAGTAACTGCAGGAATAAATCTCAGCGGCCTCTTAAATAAATGAATTAAGCGGGCAATTTGCCTGGTGGAGTCATCCCGCAGACTCTAACGCACAGAGCGCTTCTCCACCTGCGTTCAGCTGGATTTATGAACTCTGAACACTGGTAAAAAAAAAAAGTGTCCCGTTCCTGACGCGCTGTCTCTCAGTTTTATGGAGCCATTCATTCATCCTCTGTCAATTTACAAGCGCAGAATATGCAGAGGAGGGAGATGACATGGACACTTCTGAAGCGTATATAAACCCAGGAGGAGTTTCACTGAGGAGAAACTCCAGGCTGAAGGCTTCAGTTGTTTGTGTCTGTTGGTGTCATCATGATGTGGAAGTTGCTTCTGCTCTTTGCTTTGCTCCTTACCGTCCTCGAACCTCTGCTCGGTCACCCGGTGGTGCAGTCGGCGGAGATGAGCTTCGGCAGGCCCGGTAAGTGCGCGCATCCACACAGCACTAGTTAGTTACTTAGTGAGGTAACACTTTAAAATAATGGTCTTTTATTTACTAACACGAATAAACAATCAATTACGGTGTTTATTAATCTTTTTTAACATTAGTTAATGTAATGTATATTTAAGGTAATAGTAGTTTCTGCAAACTCACCGTGACTAGTTAACAATCACATCTTTGGATTTTAATAATGTATTAGTAAATGTTGAACTCTAAATAAATATTTTTTTAACAAGAGTATGCATAATTCGTTAATGTTATTAACTAAATGACCATTTTTTCTAAAGTTTTATCCTTAGTTGTATGGCACATTTGTATTGAGCTGTTCTAAAATACTTTAAAAATGATATAAAGGGGGCATATTATGCAAAAATCACTCTTATAAGGGGTTTAATCACAGTTGTTTGGCAATAGTCTGTGTATATTACTTTGATTGAAGTTCTCCCTTTGTACATGTCATCAGAGGGGGAAAGCCCCGCCCATTAGTGACCATCTCTCCCTCATTAGCATGAACAGCCCTGAGTGTAAAGCAGGCGTCTGCCATTAAAGATTTGAAGATCTGCTGCTATGCTGCCACCTAGGCATTTATAGCTCTAGCCTTTTTTTTAAAGAGTACTGGGAGCACAATGTCATTTAAATTTAAAGCGACAGTCACCAAAATTACACATTTAGAATCAAAACCTAAAATAGGCAGTTTGAAAGAGTTATAAAATATTATTTATGTGGTACTTTGATATATTTTGACTTTTTTTTAAAGTAACTTTACTCAACACTGATACAGAAGCATTTTGTAGTGTTTTTCTTACTTGTCTTGTTTCCAGTCCAAATATATAAAGAAAAAAGTCAATGAAGTAAGAAAAATAATCTTATTTTAACCCAAAAAAAAGACTATTTTACTCACCTCAATGGCTAATTCTGTCAAACAAAAGCTAGTATTTGAAACTTTCTGCTCAACAGAGGAAAATATTTTAGAGAAATCTTAAAATTATTAAGCAGCACAACTGTTTGTTTGTTTGTTTATTTATTTGTGTTTCATCAGCATTGGCTATATTATTTGGCAACATGAAGTAAATTTTTAATATATAATTTACAACCATGACTGTTTCTTAATCATAAATTGTACAAAATATCCAAATCAGCACAACACTGACAACAATATAATAATAATAATAATAATAATAATAATAATAATAATAATAATAATAATAATAATAATAATAATAATAATAATAATAATGGGGCGAAGCAGTGGCGCAGTAGGTAGTGCTGTTGCCTCACAGCAAGAAGGTCGCTGGGTCGCTGGTTCGAGCCTCGGCTCAGTTGGCATTTCTGTGTGGAGTTTGCATGCTCTCCCTGCGCTCATGTGAGCTTCCTCCGTTAGCTCCGGTTTCCCCCACAGTCCAAAGAAATGTGGTACAGGTGAATTGGGTAGGCTAAATTGTCCGTGGTGTAAGAATGTGTGTGCGATGTTTCCCAGAGAGGTGTTGCGGCTGGAAGGGCATCCGCTGCGTAAAAAACTTGCTGGATAAGTTGGCGGTTCATTCCGCTGAGGCGACCCCTGGATTAAAGGGATTAAAGGGATTAAGCCGACAAGAAAATGAATGATAATAATAATTTTGTGCATCATATTTGGATGATCTATTGACAAAGCAGTAATAATATGTAGCTTTTTAAAAAAATGTATTTAAACAGAAAACATATTTTTTGCATTTATTTATTAAAAGCATTACCTATGATAACGTCATTTCAAGTTAAAATTAAATTATTTATGTAAAAAATCATATCAATCCCTACCATTTGACAGTTATGAATTTATTTTTAAGTCACAGTTTAATTGAACATGATTTGCTTTACTTAAACCTAGACATGTTTATTAAAAAGTGCATTTTGAATACAAAAACTTGTGATTTAATGTCAACCTGACCACATTTACAGCAAGATACACCAATTAAATGAACCTAAATCAGCAACAAATACCTTCTTAAAGGGACAGTTCACCCAAAAATGAAAATGTCTGTATTATTAACTAACATTTAAGTGGTTCAAAGATCTTTCTTCTGTTGAATACAAACAAGACACACTGAAAACTGCTGGGGAAAAGCAGCCATTGACATCAAAACAATCCTATGAAAGTCAATGGCTGTTTTTCCCCCCAAAAATCTTCAGCACATCTTCCTTTGTGTTCAACAAATGCACAGAAGAAACCGATTGCTGCATGTTTCATGATTTTGTAATTGATCATCTTCACCTGCAGTTGTTGTAGAAGAAGAGCAGGCTCTCAATCCAGAGGAGCTGAGTTTCTCGGAGCAGGCGTATCTCTCCCATGATGCCGCAGGGTTCGGTTACCCGTCTCTCATCAGTGGAGACATCAGCAGTGATGGTTAGATGACCTTTGAACACACTTTAAAGTCCGCATGAGCATGAAGCTGCAACCTTTTTTTACGTATTGTGACGCAGTTCCTAAAGAAACGAAATGTTAAATGAGAACACAGTGGGCGTAGCTTGTTTTTCTACTGCGAGCTGATTGGATGTAGTAAAGTAGGCGTTTTATTCAGAAAGATCAGGGTTTGGGGAGAGTTATTACAACCTAACAGACTCCTCCTGCTCACCAATTCTGTTTGTTACTGAAGGGGCGTGGTTAAGTATGTAAGCCGGCCCAATGCCCGAGACAGACCTAAATCTGAGAATTGAATTGAAAACAAACAGGAATAGTGCATTTTCACATTTCAATTAAAGATTAGCTGCTTTTCCACTCTCATGCTGAATCGTTCTTTAAGCAGAACCGTTCCATTCTGTGCCAAACCGGGCCAGACAGCAAGGATATGGATTCATTTCCCACTGTCGTGCTGCGACAAAGCTCATTGAAACATTACACAAAACGCATCAGTAGTTCCCTTGCTAACGCAATGTAAACGGCTCCCTTTGTTCAATTGAATTGAACTGTTCACCACAATGCGAGCCAACAAAATCATATGGTTACTTCTGATTTCATGTGGACTTTTGTTTGTTTTATTTGCCGTTTACTTGGGTTTTTGCTAGAAGGGATACAGTTGTGGCTGGAAGTTAAAGATAATTATTTATATTATTTATTATAGTAGCCATGGGCAGCATGGTGGCTCAATGGTTAGCACTGTTGCCTCGCAGCAAGAAGGTCACTGGTTCAAGTCCCGGCTGGGTCAGTTGGCGTTTTTGTGTGGAGTTTGCATGTTCTCTCCGTGTTGGTGTGGGTTTTCTCTGGGTGCTCTGGATTCCCCCACAGTCCAAACACATGCGCTATAGGTGATTGAAAAAGCTAAATTGCCCAGTTTGTATGTGTGTGAATGAGTGTGTATGGGTGTTTCCCAGTAGTGGGTTGCAGCTGGAAGGGCGTCAGCTGTGTAATACATATCCTGGACAAGTTCAATCATTCCGCTGTGGTGACCCCTGATGAATAAAGTGACTAAGCCGTAGGACGATAAATGATTGAATATTATATTAGCCATTCATTGTATTTTATTAACATCTACCCAACCCGCACAGTAATGTAAAAACCGTAATTATACCAAGTGTTATTCATAATATTTATTAAATCGCCCTGAAATGTTTTTTTTTTTTTTACGTCTACCCCAACAGGGTATATGCCGAGCTAGTGTGTTTCCCATACTGATAAACTTCCGGTGACCTGTTATTGTGAACTTTTTTCCATTTTATACGGTTCCTTTTACAGCATCGATGTTGTAATGTCATTAAAATACATTCAGTTAAATAAACTTTGGCATTTATTTAGTTGCTCAAGCGTAAAACGAGACAAAAAGCCGTTTACTCTCACGCGGCCGTCAGAATCGGCAGGATAGTGCAGAAGCTCCATTGAATATACTGGGGTAAAATAAATGCTCATATTATAAAGACATGGCGGGGAAAATGTAATTTAATGCAGTGCTTCTTGTACAATCTGAGACCCACTTTATATCAGATATCACTCAGGCAGTGGAGATCGCTGATTTTTAAAGAAAACAGCCCTTAAACGTGCCGGTTTTTGCATTGGCGTACAGTTCGCTGGAAGCGATTAACCCAGGTTACTGGCAAATTAAAATTCCTATTAGCATGCTTCGGCATATACCCTACTGTCTCACCAATATAAATGTTACGTTTTTTCAAATCTAATTTTTTCCCTCACATTTTATTTTCACACGCAAAATAAAAATGCAATAAAACCAAAAAGAATTAACGGCTTTAAAAATTATTCTCTGTGTTGCAGAAAATTACACAGAGAGACAGAAAACAATAAAAAAAGCTGTTTTATTTTAGTGAGTTTTTTTTAACACTTTTATATAGTCTTTATATTTTTTGTTTATTTTAACACGTTAAATTAAATGTAAATTAGAAACATTTTCTCAGTAAATACTTAAAAACAGGTTTTAAAAGTAGCATTAAAACAGTGAATCTGTTAAAAGTTGTTTATTGATGTCCAGAGAAAAATATAATTTTAGTAAAAATAAATGATTTTTTTATTTGATACAATTAAAATAGTTTAAATAATTTATTTAAAAAATATATATATATTTTTTAAATAATTCTGATATTTTGCCATTTTTAACTGTCTATTTAAAAAGTATTTATATTTTATTTCTTTTCTTTCCAAACATAGCTCAAAACATTTTTTAAATCCTCTAATTTTTAACATCTTCTTTTATTTAAATATGAATTATTTATTTTAAGTAAAACAAGTATTTTTAGTTAACCATAATAACTTGCTTGAAACAATCATTCATTCATTTTCCTTAGGCTTAGTTCCCTTATCTATCAGGGGTCACCACAGTGGAATGAACCGCCAACTACTCCAGCATATGTTTTATGCAGCGGATGCCCTTCCAGCTGCAACCCATCACTGGGAAACATCCATACACACTCATTCATTTCACACACATACACTACGGACAATTTAGTTCATTCAATTCACCTGTACCGCATGTGTTTGGACTGTGGGGAAACCGGAGCACCCGGAGAAAACCCTCACCAACACGGGGAGAACATGCAAACTCCACAAAGCAAGAAGGTCACTGGTTCGAGCCTCGGCTGGAACAGTTGGCATTTCTGTGTGGAGTTTGCATGTTCTCCCCGTGTTAGCTCCGGTTTCCTCCAGGTGCTCCGGTTTCCCCCACAAGTCCAAAGATTTGCGGTACAGGTGAATTAAGTAAGCTAAATTGTCCGTAGTGTATGTGTGTGAATAAGAGTGTATGGGTGTTTGCGGCGTGAAAGGCATCCGCTCCGTAAAACATATGCTGGATAAGTTGGCGGTTCATTCCGCTGTGGTGACCCCTGATGAATAAAGGGACTAAACTGAAAATGAATGAATAATATGAGCATGAGTGAAAGTAACACTCTCATTGCTGTTGTTCTCCCTCACAGGTCTCAGAACAGCAGGATTTGTCCCCAGTCAAGCTGTAAAAGAGGTGAGTGATTAAATGCGACATCATTAAATCAACAAACCACCATAAAATTCAATCCACACATATTAACATCCACTTCTCATTCAGGCCTTGCTGGAAAAACCGCTGTGGAGTCGTTTTCTGGGCAGCAGAAAGCAGTATCACAAACGCGGCAGCAACACAGAGTGCTTCTGGAAATACTGTGTGTAAAATACCAACAACACACACACACTCTCATGCCCTTCACCTGACATTTACAACAACTCCAATGCACTAAACATGCAGAAAAAAACCTAAAAAGATCTTGATGTTTGTAGAAAAAATAGCTGGTTATTTATTTGTACTCTTTACCTTTGATGTAAATAAAGTAAATATGTATAAAGCAGTGTGGATTTGTATGTTTATGCATGCATTACTTTGTTGAATACATTTAAACAATTAAATTAAGAGACTGTAGATGAAAATAAAACAGTAAAACAATTAGAGTCCACAGTTGATTGATTGCAAGATCTCTGAAATTGTATGTTTATGGTGATCCTTATTTGTGAATCACACTTGTGGTCTTTGGGGTCAAAAAGGGACGGACGCCTGTAAAACACACTGATTGTTTTTCAGTATAGATGAATCTAATTTATTTTTGTTTCATAATATTTATTCTAGTGCATTTTTAATTTTGAGAAGGGTTTGTGGTAAAATGAAATATTTATGTAGTAAATAACATCAGTTTTTTTCCCCATTGAAAACAATGGATTTTATTTTTATTTATTTTTAAAATATTGCAGTATTCATTCAATCATTTTCCATTTTCCTTCGGCTTACTCCTTTATTTATTAGGGGAATTCCAGCATGCGTTTTACACAGCGGATGACTTTCCAGCTGCAACACAGTACTGGAAAACACCCATACGCTCTCACATTCACACTCATACACTATGGCCAATTTAGTTGATTCAATTCACCTATAGCGCATGTGTATGGACTGTGGGGGAAGCCGGAGCACCCGGAGGAAATGCATACCAACACCTACACGGGGAAAACATGCAAACTCTGCACAAAAAATGCAAACGGAACCAGACGGTACTCGAACCAGCGACCTTGCTGTGAGGCGACAGTGCTAACCACTGAGCCACTGTGGCACCCATTATTGCAGCATTTCCAGGTAGAATAGAGACTCTGCCATTAAAAACTAAACCAAAAAGGCAGATTAGCACCATCTGGTTGTAGAAAAAAATCAATAGTCTGGTCTAAAATGACCAAAGACTATCAGAGGGTTGAAGTATTTGTGTAAGAAAGCAATTGAAAGTAATATTCACTCGTTTTCATCCATTTCTAGCACACAAAAACCGGCATATTGTATGAAGACGAGTTCAAAAATAATTTCATAAATGTTGATGTCAAAAATCTTCACATATTATAGTGAAATCTTAACATTGAGGGTAGTTTGGGAATTTCATTTATCCCTCCATATATGTGAAAACAGAAATAAAAATGCAAACAGAGCAACAATATATGGGTTTTTACGTATAGTAAAATATAATTAGGCAAAATATGTTTTCCCTCAGTAAAAACATTCAGAATATGAGAGGAATAAAACTTTGAGGTTTATAAAATTTCCTGCTCAGAGCAGTAAAAAAGTTACACTCACCGGCCACTTTATTAGGTACACCTTACTAGTACGCTTGCCTTCAGAACTGCCTTAATCTTCCGTGGCAGTTTACCTGGTGTGGTCTTCTGCTGCTGTAGCCCATCTGCCTCAAGGTCGTGTTGTGCATTCAGAGATGCTCCTCTGCAGACCCTGGTTGTAACGAGTAGTTATTTGAGTTACTGTTGCCTTTCTATCAGCTGGAACCAGTCTGGCCATTCTCCTCTGACATCAACAAGGCATTTGCACCCACAGAACCGCCGCTCACTGGATATTTTCCCTTTTTCAGACCATTCTCTGTGAACTCTAGAGATGGTTGTGAATGAAAGTCCCAGTAGATCAGCAGTTTCTGAAATACTCAGATCAGCCCATCTGGCACCAACAACCATGCCACATTCAAAGTCACTTAAATCAGGTGAAATAACCAGTTGGACAGGTGTACCTATTAAAGTGGCTAGTGAGTGTAGTTAAAAAATAAAATCTAGACACAGATTAATACATAAACACTAGAAAAACACTTTCTGAAAATATAAAAAACATAAAGGGGTAGTTCACCTACAAATAAAAAACTGTACTATTTACTCTATCAAGGGCTCCCAAATATATATATATATATATATATATATATATATATATATATTAAAGACAAAAGAAGATATTTTGAAAAATGTTAAACACTGCGAGCAATTGACAAACATTGGTGAAAAAAAACCCCCAAATACTATGGAAGTCAATGGTAATAGGTTCAAGATTTTGTGTTAAAAAGAAAAAAAGAAACTCCGGCTGCTTTCTCATTTGTGGTTCGATTAATTTGGAATGAATGCAACAACGAATGATACATTGTAGCATTTTTCTGCCGTCTTAAGTTGTTTTCACACCACGCTGATTGCTTTGGTTCGAACCCGTTGAAAAGAACCAAAACTCATTGGCCAAATGTTATTGAACGTATTCCCTAAACTGCTTATCGATTGGTCAGAATTAACGTGCAGGAAAATGACAAAGGAACTCCCGCAAATAAACAAACTGGCGGACACAAAATGTCGCTTTTTACTGTGGTGCTACGACTGCGCTGGCTGATTGTATTTCTGCTCATAGTATACTATATAGCTTGTATACATCACTTTAGACAAACTATACATTTCGAGAATGAAGCGCAGCTGTGGCTGGAAAACAATGTTTGATGCATTGCAAATGGCGAAGGTGCATCGCACCTCACTTTAGGAGGAGGCATGAATTAATTTAGCTAAACTGCGACATGACCATCTTCCGAAAATATTAGCAATGATCCATCAGGTAATGTTTTTCCCTCCCTCTCTCTCTCTCTCTCTCTCTCTCTCTCTCTCTCTCTTTCTCTGTTTAAAGTTGTTAGTAAAGCACTGTCAACAAATATTTTTTTCCTCCACATTCCATAATGCACAGTGCATCAGGCTACGGCCGCTGGATTAGACCAAAAAGGCAAAGTACATTTTGCGGTTGGGTCTGTTTTAAATCGGATCATATTCTGACCACAAACAAACCACTTGAGAGTTTGTTTGAAAGTGTACAGAGATCACCTCTTCAATGAAATCTTGGTTCGCTTTTTTGGTTCAGTTTTGTTGCGCACTCGAGTGTGATTGCTACATTCACACCTGCCCAATCGAACCGCATCAAGTAGGAAAACGAACTCTAGTGCCATCTAACCGAATTTAAGACAGGTGTGAAAGCACTCTCAAAAAGGTTGGTGACAAGTGAAAAATGATTAAACGATCACAGAAATGTCATTTTTAGATTAACTATCCCTTTAAAAGGGAACAAAACACAATTAAAACTGGATAAATAAGAGGACATTTCAAAAGAGTTGAAGTCATTGTGGTCTTTATTCATAGTCATCATGTGGCGTCACAAAATAGTTCCCTGAAATTTGAGACAAAATGGCTTTTTCATAGTTACTGAATTTTGCACCTTGTTTTTTTTTACGTAAAATACATTATAGTGATATTTACACTTCTTCCTAAAAACTGTACAAAATCTATCTTTCGATCACAAAACTGTACAGATCAGAAGCTTTGTGTTGGGTGGCGACAGCGGCTATGTCAAACTACAACTGATGTGAAAATGGGGAAAACCACAGAAAACACACGCACGCGCACACACACACACACACACACACACACACACACACACATTCTTCTGAACACGACAGATCAATAAATAAAGAACAAAACACAGGATGATAAAAATGAGGTCTGGTGCAACTGTGGACCGCTGCAGTGAGCTGGTCTTTCCAAGAACTTTATGAAGGATTTGAAGAGTTTTATGGTTTACTAGTGAAGAGCATGAAATGTGTTCAGCTTACAATTCACCAGAAATTTTATAATTATAATAATAATAACAATAATGATATTCTATATAATATATATTATTTTCTTTTAAAAATTTAAAAGATTTGTAATTTATTTTCCAAAATTATTACATTTTAAATGTATACACTACCTGACAAAAGTCTTGTCGTCGATCCCAATTTTAAGAGCTACAAGTAATAACTTGACTTCTAGTTGATCATTTGGAAAAGTGGCAGAAGGTGAATTTTTCTGATGAAATATCTGTTGCTGCATCCCAATCATCACAAATACTCTAGAAGACCTACTGGAACCCACATGGACCCAAGATTCTCACAGAAATCAGTCAAGTTTGGTGAAGGAAAAATCATGGTTTGGGGTTACATTCAGTATGGAGGTGTGCGAGAGATCTGCAGAGTGGACGGCAACATCAGCAGCCTGAGGTAATGTAATGTAATGTAATGTAATGTAATGTGTATTTTATGTAATGTGTATTTATATAGCGCATTTATTGTGTATGGCCATACACCCAAAGCGCTTCACAATCATGAGGGGGGTCTCTCCACAGTACCACCAGTGTGCAGCATCCACTTGGATGATGCGACGGCAGCCACAGGACAACGGCGCCAGTGCGCTCACCACACACCAGCTTAAGGTGGAGTGGAGAGACAGTGATCGAGCCAATTCGGTGGAAGGGGATGATTGGGAGGCCATGATCGTAAGGGCCGATAGAGGGACTTTGGCCAGGACACCGGGGTTACACCCCTGCTCTTTCACGAGAAGTGCCGTGGGATTTTTAATGACCGCAGAGAGTCAGGACCTCGGTTTAACGTCTCATCCGAAAGACGGCGCCCACTGACAGTATAGTGTCCCCTTCACTTTTACTGGGGCATTAGGACTCACACAGACCACAGGTTGAGCGCCCCCTGCTGGCCTCACTAACACCACTTCCAACAGCAACCTAGTGTTCCCTAGTGGTCTCCCATCCAGGTACTAACCAGGCTCAGCCCTGCTTAGCTTCAGTGAGTAACCGGTCTTGGGCTGCAGGGTGATATGGCTGTGGCGAGGTATCAAGACATTTGCGCTGCCCATTACATCACAAACCACAGGAGAGGGCAAATTCTCCAGCAGGATAGCGCTCCTTCTCATGCTTCAGCCTCCACATCAAAGCTCCTGACAGCAAAGAAGGTCAAGGTGCTCCAGGATTGACCACCCCAGTCACCAGACATGAACATTATCGAGCATATCTGAAGTAAGATGATGGAGGAGGCATTGAAGATGAATCCAAAGGATTTTGATGAACTCTGGGAGTCCTGCAAGAACTCTTTCTTCGCCATTCCAGATGACTTTATTAATAAGTGATTGAGGCATTGCAGAGATGTATGATGCAGTCCTCCAAGCTCATGATGGAGTCAGACACAATATTCATTCTGTCTCCACTGCAGCATGACTTTATATTCTATACTGGACATTATTTCTGTTCAGTGACAAGACTTTCGTCTAAGCAAAGTCAGACCTTACTGCCCTAATTCAATAATTAAAAATCAAGACATGATCATGTTTTATTTTGGTAAATTAAGTGTAATCTAGAGGCTCTTGCCTTTCATATAAGCCACTTCTGATACCAAATGATCAACTAGAAGTCAAGTTATTATTTGCTGCTCCTAAAACTTGATTAGGCGACAAGACGTTTGTCAGGCAGTCTAGATACACACACACACTTATGTTAATCTTTATTAAATTATCATGTTTTTTATGTGTCCTGAAATTTTCACTTGGGTGAAACATGCAAGCTTCTCTCGGCATGGAAAACAAAACATGGAAGTTAACACCTTGCACTTGGTTCAGATCTTAAAATATTTCTGATTTATAGTCATATCTCAGATTTTATTTCCCCTCAGAATTGAGACCTAATGTCGCAATTACTTTTTTAAAAGAAAAACGAGACTCATGTATGTTTTCGTCACCCAAGAAAAAATAAATCTGTCTGTATCTTCGAATTACACCATCACTGAGAGTGTTAAACCATAGAAAACCCTTGCTGGACATCTTTCAGTCACATCTATAGATGAAAACGAACAAACACGTGGACAGGAAAAACAGATTTAAGGCCTCATTCAAATGATGTGTCTGACTTAAACGAATTTAGTCATTAGAAGATCATCTCTCAGGAAAGGATCTTAAAGGAAAATAAAGCAAAACAAGCAGCGCTCAAACAAAACAAGCAGCTATTAAAAACCACAGCGATGACTTTCATTCAGTTTTGGTGCTTTTAGACGTTCTTTAGTGATGCTGCGGCATTGTGGGACATTTATATTCATTTAGTGGTCAGAGAGAAACTCACTACTGAAGATCATAAACCCTCCTGAGCTCAGAGGAGGACATATATTTAATTAAAAGGGTCATGAACTGCATGTTTTATGAGATTGTACTGTTCTCAAGGTCCGCTTATATCAACATTTAGCATTTAGAAATAATAGGTTTGACATCCCTCATCTGAATACACTGTTTACATATGCATGGTCGACGCCCACAAGTGTGATTGGCCGACGGTTTAACATATTTATGAATGTGTGTGCTTCTGTGTGTGTTCGACAGTATTTACAAATAAAGTCTTGTACACACTGGGAAGCTTATAACTCAATTTAATTAAAAATGAACTGAGTGAAAATGCAAAATCACTTCCTGATATTAGATGGCGGCTAAAGGTGCATCAAGTATGATGGAGTATGACAACCTAGTGGTTAAACTAGGTACTGCAATTCAAATTTAAAACACTGGATGTTTTGTTTTGATGCACACACAAAATGCAAGCTCAACAACTCCGACAGAAGCGACTCAAAATCGAAAGTACTCACGCAGGTTGATTGATAACAAAGGCGAATTTCCAGTGGGCGGCGAAATTGAAGTGAAATACACAACGTATTTGCAGCGATCAAGCGGACTTTGCTCCTATTGTGTCTTCAGTCCATATTCTAATAATTTAACTCCATCTAAAAGTTAGCTTGAGGTAAAAAAATTATAAAAATCACGCGGGTAAACTAGAGAAATGACGCGTTGCTCTGCATGACACTGTAAACTGCTCAGATAATGTTACCTTTGCTAATATTTGTATCGCTTGCAAATTAAAAACCACCTCTGAATTTTATAACTCTTCAATCACTCAACTCTTTAGTTTTAATCACAATTGTTTTACCGAGACTTTTTTTTTTGCCATTCATGCCCAACCAGATTTTTTTACTGCAAATGAGCTGAGATGAAAATGCTAAATCACTTTCTGATATTAGTTGGCGGTCAAAGGTGCATAAACTATGATGGAGTATGACTACCTAGTGGTTTAACTAGGTACTGCGGTCGAAATTTAAAATACTGGATGGTTTATTTTGATGCACGCACAAGATGTAAGATCGACGACACCAACAGAAGCGACTTAAAATCGGAAGTACTCACGCAGGTAGATTGATTACATAGACGAATTTCCACCAGGCGGCGAGAATAAAGTGAAATGCACAACGTATTTGCAGCGATCATGCAGACTTTGCGCCAAATGTGTCTTTAGTACAAATTCAAATAATTCAACTTGATCTAAAAGTTAGCTTGAGGTAAAAAAAAAAAAAAAAAACATTCTGCAGGTAAACTAGAGAGGGACCTGGTGGTCTGCATGACACTGTAAACTGCTCAGATAATGTTACCATTGGTAATATTTGTATCGCTTGTAAATTAAAAACCAACTCTGAATTTAGAACTCTTAAATCACTCAACTCTTTAGTTTTAAATCACAATTGTTTTTCTGGGACGTTTCTTTCAAGCAGTTTTTTATGGCAAATGAGCTGAGTGAAAATGCAAAATCACTTGCTGACATTCGAGGGCTGTTAAAGGACATTATGTAGGACTGAGTATGTAGGACCTAGTGGTTAAATGAGGTACTGCAGTTCAAATTCAAAATACTGTATTCTTTGTTTTGACCTACACACTGGATGTCAGATTGACGACACCAACAACAGCGAGTCAAAATCGAAAGTATTCATGCAAGTAGATTACATGGGTAAATTTCCATCAGGCGGCAAGAATAAAGCGAAATACACAATGTATTTGCAGAGATCACATGGACTTGCGCCAATCATGTCTTTAGTACAAATACAAATATTTCAACTTGACCTGAAAATTAGTTTGAGGTAGAAAAACATCCTGCGGGTAAACTAGAGTGAGTGATGCGCTGCTCTGCATGACAGTGTAAACGGCTCAGACAATGTTTACATTAGTAATATTTCTAACACTTGCAAATTAAAAACCACCTCTGAATATTATGACTGTTTAATCACTCAGTTCTTTAGTTTTTAATCACAGTTGTTTTGCAGACTTGTTTTTTTGGTATTCATGCCCAAGCTATTCTTTTACTACTTATGAGCTGAGTGAAAATGCAAAATCACTTGCTGATATTTGATGGCGGTTAAAGGGGCAGTAAGTACGCAAGGCAGTAAGTACCACCTAGTGGTTGAACTAGGTACTGCAGTCCAAATTTAAAATACTGGATGGTTTGTTTTGATGCACACACAAGATGTAAGATTAACGATACCAACAGCAGCGAGTTAAAATCGAAAGTATTTATGCAAGTAGATTGCATTGAGAATGAATCGAAATGCACAAAGTATTTGCACAATAACGCAGACTTCGCCCCAACTGTGTCAATTGATGACAGCCAAAGGTGCACAAAGTATGATAGAGTATAACTACCATGTGATTGAACTAGTTACTGCAGTCCAAATTCAAAATATTCAAAAGTATTAATGCAAGTAGATTAGTTTATTGTCCAACAGGCGGCAAGAATAAAGCGTAACGTATAAACGTATTTGCAGTGATCACATGGACTTTGCGCCAATTGTGGTTGTTTTTCAAATAATCAGGTGGAAAATTAGCTTGAGGTGAAAAACATCCTGTGGGTAAACAAGAGAGAGTGACGCGGTGCTCTGCATGACACTGTAAACTGCTCAGACAATGTTTACATGGGTAGTATTTCTATTGTTTGCAAATTAAAAACCGCCACATGTGGATTGTATTAACTCTGAATCCATGTCTCATTTCGAGACTGCTGCTACTGTCCTGCGGTGGTCGAATTTTTGGTTTACACATGGATTTTATCCACTCTTCTAAAAGTGTAGATGGTGGATTAACATTCAGCACATGATTACTAATAATATGTGTCATTATTTGTAACTTTAGATGGCATGGTTTCCAAAACCAAATCTGTCAGTGTTATTTTCATTCTCATCTTCAGCGCTTTACATTTTCGCGGTTGTAAATCTCCCTGTCAACCCAAGCCAGAAGGCATTGACTGAGTGATTGTGATTGACAGATGATTTTAACCAATCCATTTGCGTTCAGTTCTAGAGCAATGGGCCAATAAGAAGAGCGCGAAGGCGGGGCAAGCATTACGCACTTGGCTTTGTTTACAGCAGCAAGTTGACATGACAACTGTTTAAAACCATCCCTGAGCGCTGCGTTTCACGTTTCAAGTGCAAAGATGCATTCTGCGTGAATGTCACCTGAATCCGCGCATGTGGTAAACATCTTGCAGTAAAAACTGGTCGCTCACAACAATTTTATGCACAAATGCTCCCAAATATATTTTGAGGTCACACTGATAAGATTTAGGGCGCATATTTCGAGCCCTGATATAGCACCTTTAATGAAAAACAGAAATACCCTGGGACAAAAGGTGGCGCTGAGCAACTTAATGCTTCTGGCACTTGCTTGTTGCGCAGAAAAAAGTAGTCACCCTCACACATTTTCCTGTATTTATTGTGCAATGTTTTCCACTACACTTTAATGTTTTACTAGTATAGCAATGAAGGGTCAAACCTTCGGAAACAAGCCATTAAAAAAAATTGTGAAACTGACTGAATTTGACTCCACAATTCGGCTTGAACTATTTTCCTAATACAATGTATATTTGTGGGCGGAGCTAAACAGACAGTGATGTAAAAATGGGTGTTGATTTTCTATGGAGGCGGGGCTTAGTCACACTATTACATAGAGGCACATTCATAACCTGTCGTTTTGGCAGACTGGCTTCAATAATAGTCTGTTTTTAAGCTGGGGAGAATATTTTGCATTTTAAAGCTGGCTGGATGTTTTAATAGAGCACTGACCTGTTATATTAATTCATTTGAATAGATTTTAAATTTCTCAGTTCATGACCCCCTTAAAAACTGCTTTAAAAAAGACATATTAGAGCAACTAAGCACAAACATCACTACCAAATTAAAGTCTGATATTCACAGTAATTTGGGTCCATGGTCTGTAACGGAGAGAAGTGTCCATCTCCTGCGAGTGTACAGACTCACTGTGAGCGGACAGGAATCGGCTCTTTGTGTGGTTGCGGGACCAGCGGCTGCTCTGATTGGCTGAGGACTGGAGTGATGTCAGGTGTCTGTATCGGGTCTGTTTTCCTGTGGTGGACAGTCTTGTGGACAAGAGATGTCAGGAGGGTTTGGAGAGTCCGTTTGAAGATTCAGCTTCTTATTCGGCTCTATTGTGTTACAACTTACACAACCCTAAAAAATAAAACAACAACGACATGTGTGATCACAGTGAAACACTAAATAGATATATTATTGCTAGACTGATAATGATCTGTAATGTAAAAAAAGCTGAAATTAACTGCTAAATTCATCACAGTGCAAGTAGGTATCACTGTAGTGGGAGGGATTTTACTGCAAGTAGGCTTGGTGACCTCCAAGTCGGAGGGATTTACGCCACAAGTGGGCTGTGTTGCTGTAGATGTAGTAGACATTAATAAAATAAAACTGGTTACTGTAAGGTTGGGTTTAGGGTTGGGGCAATACAGGCATTCATAAAACACAATAGTTGGACTCTGTCAAAAAACACAGATTCATTCTTCTTATTATGAATATTTATTATTGTCAGCCACTTTAAACATTATGAATAGTTTGAACATTAACACTGCACTGTACTTACAGGTAAAAAATAAATAAAAGGTCAACGTTTAAATTAAAATGTGCTTTTAAAGTTAATTCAAATGGCACTGTTCTTAAAAAGTAAAACGAAAACTGCTGTACTCATACATCATATAGTATAGTATTATATAGTAGCTTATTCATCAAAACCTGAGAATGTTCCGTGGACCTTATAAATATAGGCTATACAGGGTTCAACGCTTAGGATTTTTTCTAGTGGGCCAATCAGGCCAGTGGTTGAGATTTTTACTTGCCCTGCCAAAGTTTTCACTGGCCCCACAAAAAAAAAAAAAAAAGGTTAACAGCTATTTCTTAGCCACATATTTTAAATAATGTGGCAAAATAATGTCTGTGAATCCAGAATTTAAACATTTTAAAAATGTTAATAAATGTAAAATGAGAAAAATTCAAGATTTTATGCAAACGAAAAAGCAGTATAGAAAATGTGCTGGCATTTTATTGCAATTCTAAATTATTTGTTTAAAAATGGATTGCCAAGCTGACGACAACTTTTTTTTTTTTTTTTTTTGCCAGATTCTTAATTTTGTTCCCATGTAATTGTCTGCTTCCAAGACTTTAGAAACAGACGCTTTCTTTTAGCCTCATAGTTTGATGTTGCCATCTTTTCATTGTACTGGTTGTTACCAGGTTCCGGAAAAAATTAACATGCTCATCGTTACTGGCCGAAAGGGGCCAGTAACAATCCTGTCTACTGTCCCGAGCGTCTTTCACGCTGGCCAAAAACTCTTTTTGCTAAATTTTGAAATATACGTTGCATGTGTGTATTACTTATTTGCATATCTTTGAAATCTAAACATTAACTTGTATTTTTTATTTATTTATTTATTTATTTTTTTAGTTTAGTTTATTTGTTTACAGGGTCAATGCACATTAATAAACATTACTGTAAAATGTGCCAGAATTAGCCAAGAATGGCTATTTTTTATCCGTAGACCCCTTACAGAATGTTAAAAAGTCACACCTAAAATAGAAGCACAACATTAAACATTAAATACACTTTCATATAAAATATATTTTTTCACTTTCATATTTTAAATATATGAATTGGATTTACATATTTAAATTACAAATTAGATCTGCGTATTGCAAGTTAGAGTAGGCTTTGTGTGTCAGAAAAGCAAGTGCTTAAATTATACCTGTCAACATTGGGATATCAAAATACGGGATACACCCCCAACAACTCTTACAAATATGGGGAGGAAATCAGCTTCAAATGATAGAATGCATAACAAACATTAGAAAATTAAAGAAAAATAAAAGGTTTAGCCTATTAAAATCAATTTAATTACTTAATTATTTAGCGAGTCCTCCACGTACCACTAAAAGGAAGCCCGTACCAGAGTTTGAGAACTCTGCCACTGTCATGCTTGGTTTGGGACTTGTGGAGCTGCGGATCGATGGATTTGCTCTTCAGTGTTTGAACTGGCAGCAGTGAAAATTAAACCACACTGAACTGAACTAAACTGAACTTCAACACTGAAAACTGAACTGACACTAGGGCTGCTCGATTTTGGGAAAAATCATAATCACAATTATTTTGGTCATAACTGTAATCACGATTATTCAAAACGATTACTGTTGAGGTCAAAATGATTAGCGCTTCTGAGAATTAAAAAAAATAAAAAATTCCCAAATGATGTTTAACAGAGCAAGGTATTTTAATAGTATTTCCTCTAATATTTTTTCTTCTGGAGAAAGGCTTATAATTATGTTTAGAAATGTGTTGAAAAAAAAATCTTTTTTCCATTAAACAGAAATTGAGGAAAAAGGGTTGCTAATATTCAGGAGAGCTAATAATTCTGACTTGAACTGTATAAAGTTATTTACCTCCCTGCAAAGGAAAGAGAAATAGATACAATAGAATAAAAATATGAAACAAACTGTGCTTTAAGCATCTTCACTATAAGAAAAACACTTAAGCTACAAAAGTCCTTCAGTCAAGAGCAGTGAGGGATTTTCTCCTTTTCTTATTTAATTAATAATGATCGAAACAGGCGGCATCAGTAATTGCGCGCTGTCACTTTAATGGTTTTGCTTTCACGTTTCTTTTGATCCTCAACTCTTTTGTTTATTACACAAATGAGGGTTAATAAGAATAATCACTAAACATTGCGTTTTGACACCTATTTGTCCATTAAAGCGCTGATGTTAAGATGACTTCAGATGCTCTGCTCGTCACAGTGTGCGAATGAGACCAAGTACAACCGTCTGCAGCCCGCATGCTTCTGACTGTGTGTGCGCACAGTCAGAAGCAAAACCGCATGCTCCACACACAGAAGCATGCGGTTTAGTTCGCGCTTTTACGAGCAACACATGTTTACAACTAAAAAGGGGGCGGTAAATAATGGAATAAGCATTTATCTCGATTAATGGTTTTTCATAATCGTTAGAGGCCAAAATCGAAATCTGATTTTCGATTAATAGCACAGCCCTAACTGACACTGTTTCAATTTACTAGAACTTTTATGTTAAAGGTGCAGTAGGTGATTGTCTTCAGAAACATTTGTTGTTGATCTGGTTGAAAGTCTCTTCACAGTCCAATAGTAATGATTAAAGTAAATGATCTGAATGTGTTTATTTGTATTTTTATATTCTGGGTAAAGCATAAAACTAAAAAATGTTCATCCAATTAAATAGTCGGACCAACATCTCCCATAATTCCGATAAGCAGCTCAGACTGTCTGTCAGCATATGTAGATTCCGACTTCTGCGCATCTGTTCATGCAGATCCGCCATTAGCGCGTGCCCGTCTGCATCACAAACACATGCGCGTGAGCGCGCTGCGGGCCGCTCGCAGATGCCGAGTCGGAGCCAGAGGCAACGAGGGACAGCCGAGGCCAGGCCGATTACTGTAAAGCCAGGCACGAGTATAATTCGCCCTAAAAGCGGTCACGAGACGGACCGGGAGAAATGAAATGCGGAATTGAAACTTTTAAAATCCTGAATCAATATTGGAGTTACTTTAGCACGCTGGAGGAAGGACGACACTATGGCTGAAGTATTACTGTTAGATAGGTAATGTTCTGTTTTAAAACTATTTTAGTCAGGATAAGCTTATGTTAGTTAGTGTTCTGTTATGAATGACTTATATGCACAGACGTGTTGATCAGCCACTGAAATCTCCTGTTGAAAGATTGATGTGATTATTTTCAGTTTCATAAGGTCCTTTGACAGCATCTATAATGTAGATTTATATTTAGTTTAACAACAAAACACCAGTAAACAGCGCTATTCTGCCTAACCTGCTTTACTGAGCTGAAGTTGCTTTTATATTCACATTGGGTCATTTTTGAACAATGACAGCCTTCCTATACTGTTTACCGCTACTCTGAATATTCGCTCTAATATAGCATGTAAGTGTGGCTAAGTAATAAATGTAATTCCTGCATGGCGCTGGGACTAACTAACTGGCGAATGACATGAACTAGTGGGTTGTTTGTCGGCTGTTGTGACGCGGTGCGCGCTCGCGATTTCAGGGGGTGTGGCTTTGACTGGCAGTCCCTCCCCGCCGTCCAAAGATAATATGCTAAGCTGTTAGCATTTTGGCAGGTCACCTACTGCACCTTTAAGCTGCTTTGACACAGTCTGCATTGTAAAAGCGCTATAGAAATAAACATGACTTGAATAATCTTAATATAATCTGATAATTATATATCCAATCCTTTCAAATCCATTTGATGTAATACTCAAAAAATCTGCGCATTTTGATCAGTTTTCCGTGAGGTATCAGCTAGGGTATTTGAGTCAGTATCATATAATATGCTTGTCCAGGTGATTGTGGTGTGAATGCAGTGTTGTGGACCTGTGTGTTGATCTCCTGCGGGACGGTGTTCTGCTGGATCCAGGGATGAACCTCGGCCAGCTCCTTCTTCTGGTCCGAAGTGAACCAAGGCTGCATGGGCTGCATCAGAATCAGTTTTTCTCGATCCTCCTGAAGAACCTGAGCCTGATCCCTGCATGGAGATCCACACACAGAAGACAAATCAGCCCAGTGGTCTCAACACCACACCACTGTTATGTTAACGTCTAAATACTGCTAATGCGAACTCAATCTTTTTTCTGTCAAGCTATTTAAGAGGGTTTCAATAGCTGCTTTTCCAGCTAGACCATAGACTTCCATTCATTCACAGCAGACCTGGAGCTGGAACTCATGGTGCAATGGCTTGCTTTATCAACGGCTAATCATCTTGTTTTGTTATCCTGCTGCTTTTCGCATGTGTTGTATGTCAGAACTTCACTCAAACTCCAGTGTGAGTGCAGCTTTAGGCCTGACAGTGGAAATGCTGCTATGCCATACCTGCCATCACCTACCTGAGGTCTGACGACACAATGATATATTTAAAGCAGAACTACCTCAGCGAGAGGCAGGTGGCGCTCTCTTTTAATCCTGTGGAGAGAGATGCTGAACGTGACTGACTCAGGCTGGTCATAGAAATGATCCCGGGACAGAGAGAGAGAGAGAGAGACGGCAGGAGAGTGTCTGATACCTGGAGCTGATCTGGTAGGTTAACATGACGGGTTCGGGCGTCTGCTTGATCATGCTCCACAGAGGGTCGTCCACATGTTTCTTGAAGCCGCTTCGCTCTCGTTCCTGGGCCTCGGCGGATTTGCGTGCTTTCCGGGACGTGTCTGAGGAATCGTTGCTGGCGAAATACTTGCTGCTGTTGCTGCTGCCTGTGAACCAGGCATGCCATGGGTCAGTTTGATGAAGAAAACACTGCGGTTTTATAAATAACTCAAAATATATAAAGACATCACAGAAAGAGTACAACATTAATTGTTTAAATTGTAAATAATAAAAAAAACATTCTCATTGGAGCACATTCTTCAAGAAAATACTTAAAAAGCAACAACAATATATACACTTAAACTACACAATAATTATATACAATTAAACTATATACTGCTCAGAAAATTAAGGGAAAACTTGGAGCTACCTTGTGTTGTATAACTGTTTGAGCAGTATAATAATAATTTAAAAATGATTAATAAAACTGCCAATATCCTTTTTTACAAATAATTATAAATATATCTTAATATTATTTCACCTACATATTTTATTGATACAATAATCCTACTACTAATAACAGTAAGAAAAACCCAACTGGACTCTAAACTTTCTAACAACTTATTCTAAATATATTATTATTATTACTAATATTTTACCCCAAAAATTTATAATAATAAAAAATAATAATAATAAAAGCTTGAATTTTTATTTTAATTATAAACACAGTTAAAGTCAGAATTATTCGCCCCCCCCCCCCCCCTTTTTTTTTTTATTATTGCCTAAATGATGTTTAACAGAGCAAGGACATTTTCACAGGATGTCTGATAATATTTTTTCTTCTGGAGAAAGTCTTATTTCATTTTATTTTGGCTAGAATAAAAGCAGTTTAAAAAACAAAAAGCGATAGTCTACAAGAACAAATCATCGTTATACAATAACTTGCCTAATTACTCTAACCTGCCTAGTTAACCTAATTAACCTAGTTAAGCCTTTAAATGTCACTTTAAGCTGAATAGAAGTGTCTTGAAAAATATCTAGTCAAATATTATTTACTGTCATCATGGCAAAGATAAAATAAATCAGTTATTAGAGATAATTTATTAAAACTATTATGATTAGAAATGTGCTGAAAAAATCTGCTCTGCGTTTAACAGAAATTGGGCGAAAAAAATAAACAGCGGGGCTAATAATTCTCACTTAAATATATATATTTGACCTGAATACCAAAAAGTTTAAATAACTTCAGATGATGTCATGAAACTAAATACACCATTTAAGCTTTACCATTTTAAAATCACTCTTTATTTGTTTTCCTACTTCCATTTATTACTTGTGACATACATTAACAAATAAAAGATTATTTTAAGAGCACATTTTTAAAGGAAATACTTAAGTAACAATGTGTAAAGATAACAGATGTCACAAGTAAAATACACACTGATAATATGAAATAATTTGGGTGAGTAAATGATGACATGACTTTTTGTAATAAAATAATCAATAATGCTTTACATCAAGTATTTAGAATTTATATATACTTTAGCTATATATTATTACTCACTTAAATACTGTAACAATAATCTATTCTATTCTATAATCTAATACAAAATCTATTAAATCCATACTTTTTTACTAACAAAATTATTATAAATATACTTTAACATTTTTATATATTAATATTTTGATAATATATACTTTTACTTAAATGTTTAAGTTATACTAAATAATAATAATAATAATAACAACAATCTAACTAGACTCTACATTTTTTATTAAACCTTTTATTTGACATATTTAAAATTTTATTTAATATTTAAAATACATATTTTAATATTTCGCTTTATATGATGTCATACATCTCAATTTTATCATTTCAAATCACTCTTTTATTTTTTTCTATGTTTGTGACATTTAATATGAAAGCCTGAGTGAATTTTTTACTTTCGCAGTGTATGTCTGTATACAATAAATGAAGATGAGAGTTTATTTGCACTGAATTTCCATTCAAATATTCATGTAAGATTAATATGGCGTGTCTAATGACTTAATAATGAAATGTGCTAATGTGTGCAATAATGAAGATATAGCGAGTGAGGTGAACCGCACCAGTGTGGCTGGTAGACGTCCCGTTTGAGCCTAGTCCTGATCCAGAGCCCAGGGATCCTCCAGACTCTCCGGAGCCACTTCCTGAGGCATTGGAGCCGGTGCCGGAGCGAGCGTCTTCCTGCAGCAGCTGATCCAGCATCTCACTGGAGGACGAGTGAGCGTCCTGATGACCACACTCACTCCGAGCATCATCCTGAAAACACACACACACACACACACACACACACACACACACACACACACACACACACACACACACACACACACACACACACACACACACACACACACACACACACACACACACACACACACACACACACACAAACACACAAACACACACACACAATCACATTTAGCTTAATACCAGCTCAATCAGTTTAGCATCACACTCCACTCAACTCCACTACACAACTAATTATAACTTCTCTCTTAAGACCTTCACGTTTTAACAATAATTCATAAAACAATAATGTAATCTTTCAAACTACCTTTATTATTTCACATTAAAATATTACGGTTTACTAATTTATACAAGAATTTAAGTACTTTAAAATCCTAATTTTACAAACCACAACATTTTAACCAAATTTGATATATATTTTTCCTCTTTTTAAAGATTTTATTGAATATTTTTCCACATTTAAATCTGTGCTTACTCATTTTTGGACCATTATCAAGCACGCACACATGCATGCACATAATTTAATAATGATAACAATAATAATAATCATCATCATCATCAATATCAAGTAACATTTTATTGATGTTTTTTGATATTGATGATGATGATGATTATTATTATTATTGTTATCATGTTATTATTATTATTGTTATCATGTTATAAAATATTACATTTAAATATTTTACAAATATGTCACTTAAAGATTTTAATTGTTGTGATAAAACTTAATATAACGATATGAGAGAGAGATCACATCACCTGTGCGCGCAAGTATTCATCCTCTCATAAGGTATTCACCTGCTTTTGCTCGCGAGAACACAGTTATTTTTGTCAGTCGTGCTGCTTCTCGATTTAAGATCACATTTGCACACAAATTGAGCCATCCTTATTGTTGAACCCTGCTATAAGCTTTAAAACTACAATGTAAGAATTATTTCCAACCTGCCAAAGTGGCTAGTGGGAGCGGCTGTCCAACCCGCCAAAGCTGAAATCTACCTGCATTTGGCGAGTGTTAATGTAAAGCCCTATATATATATATATATATATACATATATATATATATATATAGAGAGAGAGAGAGAGAGAGAGAGAGAGATAATAACTTTGAGTCACAATAACTTTGAGTCCCAGTCAAACAATGAGAAACTGCCCATCCTACTGGGAGAGTGTGTGCGCTGCGGTGTGTTAGCAGCTCAGTTTGTGCACTCCTGCCACCGTCTGAGGAACCCACAATGATCCGCTCCACTGTCTCCAACACACAACTGGCACTCTTTACTTGTGGACTTACTGTGGATATTATTGGCATCACTTTTATCCTGTTTCACAAATTACCATTAATCTATTTTTATTAAACGTTGTAGTTTTACTGATATATTGTTATTTTTATTAATCTATTTTTATTTTTTATATTTCTTTTCTTTATTTCTATATTATATTTTATGTTCATATTTGTTTGCACCACCTCCTTTTTGCACTGTCTTGTCTGTACGCAGCGACGCTGCACTGCTTTGGCAATACGAATGTACAGTTATTTGTCATGCCAATAAAGCACCTCAAATGTGAAATGTGAGAGAGAGAGAAATATATATATATATATATATATATATATATATATATATATATATATATATATATATATATATATATAAATATATGGATAAGTTGGCGGTTCATTCCGCTGTGGCAACCCCAGATTAATAAAGGAACGAAGCCAAAAAGAAAATGAATGAATTGAATTGAATTGAATTGAGAGAGAGAGAGAGAGAGAGAGAGAGAGAGAGAGAGAGAGAGAAAGAGAGCGACAGAGAGAGAGAGATAATCTAAAGAGATTGCATCTAAACATTTAATTTCTTAAATGCATCATAAAAATATTAAACAGAAACTGGACTTGGGGGTCTCACCGTTTTGGTGTGGGGTTCCTGCAGACTGTCAGCATTAGTGGAGGTCTGTGCTTCGCTGGGTTTGGTCAGCTCCTCCTGCAGCAGATTGAGCTGGATGGGGGAACTGGAGCGAGAGCTGGAGAACAGCGCAGTGGGCTGAGCTGCATCCAGATCCTCCCCAAACCACGGCTCAGGGATAGAGTCCGGCTCTGCTGGCACCCCGACTCCAGCAGACTCCAGGTTATGACCCTGCAACGGAGCCTCAGCAGGCATAGGGGCTCCAGGCGGGACGAAGCCGCCTATGTTATAGGGAACCACCCCTGGTGCCGCCATAGGAAAATACATGCCATTGTTCGGGGGGTACATGGGGAAGCTGGGAAGCAGGACCACCATCATGGGTGTCATTGGCTGGAGGTTCTGGACTCCTGGATCAGGCTGGAGCATGACGGGCTGCTGATCCGCACCTATGATGTTGAAGTATGGGGGTGTTTGCATGGGCACTGCCATGGGTGGCACAAAGCCGATGTTGGATGGCGGAGGCTGAGAGGACTCTGAGGACGGCCAGGAGGAGTGAGGCGCCGCTGTGGGTCCTGGAAGAGACCAGTAGTTGCCCGGCTGAGAGCATTCATAGCTGTCGGACGAATCCTCTGGTTTGGGACGCTTGTGTTTATTTGGTTGACGAACAACATCCCCTGAGAGCAGATGGAAAAGAGGGTTTAACACCAGATATAGAGGCTGCTGATGGGTTTTAATATGATGAGATGTTGATGTTGTCACAAACTTTAAGTACTATATTTAATATATAAGTACTAAGAGATTTATTTATTTATTCATTCTTTTTTTTTGTGTTTAGCAGTATAGCCTAGTTAAAAACTAGCCACATAATGTAACGGTTGTATATATTTTATTACAATATTATTATTATTATTAATTGGCACATCATTAAAACATATTAAATATTTGTAAATTAAATATTATTACTTGATGTACTAAAACAATATAGAAAAAAATAATTAATAAAATCTTGATACATAAAAAAATGATAATATAAATATATAATATAAAATATATAAAATAATATATTTATAAATAACAAAATATATTTTCCATATATAATTTCCATATATAATATAATATTATATAATATAACTTGTATTCGTTTAATTGTCTGAAAAATAATTATCTTTGAACCAAATTTTCTTTATTGTAGAGTTAAATAAAATACATAACATAATAAATAATTTATTATAATTAAGCTAATAAAAATATATAATATATAAAAGTAATGTTGGCGCAATAACCTAGTGGTAAGCGCTGACATATGGTGCAGTAGCACTTCAGGGCGAGTTTGAATCCCGGCTCGACAACATTTCCTATCCCTAACCCCTCTCTCTCCTACTTTGCTTGCTGTCTGAAATACTGTTCTATCCACTTAGAACCAAGGCCAAAAATAAATCCTAAAAAAATCTAATAATTAATTAATTTGAAAAAAAGTGTATATATATATATATATATATATATATATACACATATATATATATATATATATATATATATATATAAAGAGTTTTTTACACCAGACGTCTACAGAGGGTGTTGAGGGTCTTAATATGAACTTTACATACTGTAATTGAATTAAAATTGCTAATGCTCATAGATTAGTTTAATCATTCATTCTATATTTTTGTGAACTATTTATTTTAGTGGCCGTGGTATTTTTTTGTGTTTAGCAGTATAGCTAAGTTAATACTGGCCCAATAACTTAAAGGCTGTATGTAGTTTAATATATATTAAAATGATTAAATATTTCTAAATATCAATCAGTTTTAGAAGTACTAAAACGATATCCAGAATAAAATATTTTATAAATCTTGCCATATTAAACAACAAAAAATCAATTAAATAATCAATAACAAGAAGAAAACTAAATCTTATTAATGAAATTTTCTCTAATAGAGCTAAATAAAATACATAACATAATAAACTATTTATAATAATGAATATAATAATGTCATATATAAAAAGTTAATAAAGTAATAATATAAATAAACAAATCATATAAATAAATCATAAAAAAATTATTATACACACTCTAGGAAATTAGGAAGGTAATGCTGACTCGCACAGGGAGTATCAATCAGTCAGTCAAAACAAATGGAGTGTCAGTCAAAACGACTTTATTCCCTAAGGCTAGTACATAACTCTCCACATGGTATCAGACTGATTTATTTGCATGCAGCCACAACACCATATGAGGGTTCAAGAGCGGTGAAAGTTAAGAGCATGCTGCTACTCTGAAGCTACATTACTTTTAAGGGGCTGATGATTAGGGTGATAAGGTGCAGCTGTGAACCATGTGGTAGGCCTTCAATGAGTGCATCAGAGAGGTTCAACAAACAGTGGGCAGGGCTTCAGGGAGCATGTCACAGAGATTTTCTACACACACTTTATACTACCATCTTTATCCTACATTACAGATAATATTCACTGTTATTTCAAACGACCACCTCTTTTTCTTTTAACAACATAATAAAAACATAAACATATAAAATGTGCATTTCAGAAATCCCTTTGGCTGCTTTAATCACTGTTATCCAAAGTAAGAAACAGATAATAAACGCACCTCTGTGATGTGAATGTGCATTGCTGCTGTTGTCCTGCTGCAGGTACGAGCTGTATGGACTCTGCAGGATACGATGGCGGAATCGGTCCACGAACTGCTGCTCCTCCTTCTGTGTGTGAGCCGACAGCACCTCTTTGGTCAGTCCCAGCACCAGCAGCTCCTCTTGAGACGTGGAGGCGGAGCCAGAATCAGGGGCGGGGCTTGCAGGAGCAGGGGCGGAGTCGGCTGGCTCACTGCCCATCGGAGCGTCTTCTAATGCAGTGACTTCTGGAGCAGAGAAACAAGAGTATTCAGTTCAACATCTTCAGGCAGGGTTCATACACATGTTTACTACTAAAATTCAATGACTTTTTCAAGACTTCCAAGTAACACGCCACCCTTGTTGTCGCCAAACAACTAGCACAGACAACACCCATGGGTTGTGGTGTAAAGGAAGCCTGAGACTCACCGGACTCAGGCTGTGGGACGTGGACGATGGTGCTGCTGTAGCTGCATTGACTGGTCACAGACACCACACTCATGGCCTCAGTGGAGATGGTGATGTCTGTTAGTGGAGCTCCGACCACCGCTGCTGTCGTGGCTGAACCTGCAGACACCTGACTGTCCAGAGCTCGAGCGGCGTCCAGAGCAGCCTCTGCACCACAAACAACGGCACTATATCACTTACGATAACAATGTCGCTTTTAACTACATCAAATAATCATGACAATTTGCTGAAGCTGGTATCACGTGTTATCACAACATTGACCTACGCTGCAAAAAAAGGGTTAATAGGTATGACAAAAAAAATGTGCATTGCTTTTTGTAAAAACATGTTCAGAGTAAACAAATGCCTCAACCAAATTACGAATTTGGGACCAATTCGCTTGTTAAGTCTGACATCACGCAAAGCAGCTTCGGGATCCAATCGCTTTATTAAACTGTACAAGAGACTCAATAAACCATACTAAAAACATTGACTAAGTGCTGCTGTCTGGTTCTCGAATCTGATTGGCTAATAGCCGAGAGATATTAAAGCAATATCGGCACTTGTGCAGCCTGTTCACCCTTGTGTATTACTCATAGACTGTAAAATATATGGACGTAGTATCCGTGACGTCACCCATAGGTTTCTAAAGAGTGCAAAAGAAGCCACAAGTAGGCGCGGCCAACTGTCGCCATTTTGTTCGCGCGTCATCACACCCACGGCCAAAACCAAATAAGGGCAAAGAGGCGGAGAGTGAGCGGAGCTACAGACACCTGCTGGCATTTAGCTTGGACCTGGTTCAGACACACTTTACTTTGGGAGAAACACTTAATACTATATCACCTGTGACTCGTTTGTATTCTGACCACTTGTGCTTGGTTGTATACTATATCAATAAAGTGTTTAGACTTTTAAAAACACTGCTGTAATACATTGAGCCACTAAACATTGTTCTTATGACGTTTCTCAACAGGAGGAAAACACGAATTCCTTCAAAACACTTCAGATATGGTCTGTGTTAGTTAATGTAGGACTATTGATGAAATCCAGCATAACACTGCATGACAACGCTTCAGATGACTGTTCTAGAGCCTACAGCTAATCAATCTGACAGATTCTGGAGTGCATTACAGCTCTAAATATAAATATAACCGATAAATGATCTTAAATAAAACAAATACATGTATAGAGATGGTATATAAGTATATAACTTTACTCACATGTGAAACGGAGGCCATGTGAATGGTTTGTGAGCACAATTAACTGCACTAAGCATGCCATGCCATATGATAATTTTAGGAAACAAGTCCAAAAGGCAGTTGACTGTGTAAAGCCACATAAAAGAACACAGAAATACGATAAATATGCCGAGTTCAGTGGCTAATCTGCCGGATTCAGCTGAGGTGACGTGACGGCGACCAATGAGACCTAGCTGTCACTCAAGTGGCCACTCCCTTAATTATGCAAACTTAATATAACTTAATATAAAGGAAACAGATGAGTTCACCCCCCTCACAGTTGTCATGAAGGGTAATATTAGCTGTATTAACCAAAATCTTTTTTTGTACCAGGCTGTAAACACCTTTTTTTCTGCTGTAAAGTCGGCCATTCTAACAGTGGGCTCAATTGAAATTTGCTCTGTTTTGGAGCCAGGAGCGGCTAAGACTAGCGGAATTTCGCATGAATTGCAGTTTTAGTTACTTCCGTATTGGCTTCCTGAGGGAGAGCGGGAGGTTGCCTCTTGGTATTACTCCGCCCGCACTAGGACTAAAGAGGGACTAAACTCAGTACATTTTGACAAATATTGCAGCTGTTGGACAACATAATGTACTTTGCAGGCTTTTTAGGCGAGAATGTAGTTGTTTAGATTGCAACTATGCAGTTGATTTATAAGGATAGAGCCTATTTCAAAATGTTCATAATTTTGGAGATTCAGCACTTTGGCGGCAATTAGCCTATCATTAAGCAGAGCAAGGACAGTTCTGTCACGAAATGACGACAGAGAACCCATAATCAGTCCTTAGAGGAGAAAAACTCAGTGAACATTCTAACTACAGCTGATCAAATCATTATTAAACTGGTAAGCGACGTTCTAAGTCTATCTCTCTTTTGTATATTGTAGTGCTGTATTCATACCATAGTAATCTGTATTTACACCATAGTAATTCAAATACTAGTTCTAAAGTGATGCTTGTGAAGTAGCAACAGTTTCTGCTGTTCTGACGTCAGCTGCAGATGTGTATGAACGGTGCAAGAAAGTAGTTTCTAGTACAAAAGGGTTTTTAAACTCCTTGTGCTTGATTTTCTTTTTTAAATACTCGATTATGGCGTTGAACTGTTGTCTAAAAGCAATATCACACTCGTAGCAGTGCGATATACAGCCATATCGCACTGCTACAAGTGAGATATTACTCATATATACACATCCATGCCTAATATCACAACGCCAGAAAGCAAATCATTTTTTATAAATTGTAAAATATTGGTCCATAAGTCCAGAGATTGTTGCGTACACCACGATTTTATAAGAAATTCACTTTAAATGTGTGATACGATTAAAGAAGTGGTTATAAATTAATATTTTCTTAATTCAAATGAGCAGCGACTTGGAAACAGTATTTCAGACGTCACTGAATAAACACAATTAAGTCTCATCCACATTGAGAAAATCCTGACTTTTCACAATGACCATGTTAATATTAGCTAAAAAACAACAGTATTTTATTAGCTATTAACTCCATTTGATAAAATGATGACAACTTGTAATCAGATTATGTCTACGATTTGAAAGCATTAACAGGCAATAACAAATAAACATTACATAAGATTACTAAAAGGTTTTGTAGTTTAGGTAAATAAACTAATGTTAACTACTGGAGCTCAAAATGTTACTGTGGATCTCACAGTGTTACTGTACAAAAGCACTATAATATTAATAACAATAATAATAATACCTTACATTTATATAGCACTTTTCTCGACACAAAGCGTTTTACACATTGTTTTATTTATTTATTTATTTTTGTGGGCTGGGGTGGGGGGTATTGAGTTAATAAAAATCAACATATGCAGATATTTCAGGAGGCGACAGATAGAGCTGGAAGGGCTCGTACCGTCAGTGTTTTCATGTGCAGCAGATGTAGGTTTGTCTTCTTCTGAGGTGGAGGACGAGGAAGATGTAGTGATGGACAAAGATTCACACTTTCTTTTAAGAGCCGATGTAGCACAGCTTTCTAGATATCTAGAGGGAAAAAAAGGATGAAATCAGATATTAAACGACAAACTCTAGATAAATGAAAATAAATCACTTACATTTGAGGCACTGGAATTACATGGAAGTTCAATTGGAGTGCTTAATACATTTTTTCTAACATTTTTTAGATGATGAAATGAATCTGCTGGATTATATTTTAATACTAATTTACAACTATTTTTTTTAAATATATATACTATATTTGATATGTAAAGTTTATATGAGAGTATTTTTGAAATATTATAAATATGGCAAATATTACATTGTAAAAACATCTTGCTGCTGTATCTTTTTTTATCGAGTTAAATACATTTTTCTAGTTATCTCAACATACATTAATCAAACGGACTAAAAAATAACGTTAAACTGTATAATTAGACATATCTTCATCTTAAGTTGAACCCTGATTCACTTATTGAAATTAAATTCCATTTACATTGAGTAATTTGGCAGATGCTTTTGTCCAAAATGACTTACAATTAAGCAGTTAAAGAAACATTAAAAAAAACACTTTTTTCAAACAAGCTTTTATGATTTGTTCTTCATATAGTATTTTACAGTAAATATTTTTAAACAAGAATTAATTTCATAATAGAATAAAACATTCTGGGTTTTATATATAAAATAACCAAGTTAACTAATAAACATAAATAAAGAAGTTAAATAAAAGAATATAAAATTGAGTTAAATAATTAAAATTAAATTAATTATGAATTAAATTCTGTTAAATGATTAAGATCTTGATGTGATTTTGGAATCAGATCTGAGTTTCAATAGTCATGGTAAATCAGCATACCCTCATCTCAAAAACATTGCGAGAGTTATATGCTTTGTTTCCAGAGAAACTTGTTGATGCTTTTATCAGCAGCAGGGTGGATTACTGTAACGGCCTCCTCATGGGCCTTCCCAAAAAAACAGTCAGACAGTTACAGCTCATCCAGATTGCTGCGGCCAGGATTCTGACCAGAACCAGAAAATCAGAGCACATCACACCTGTCCTCAGGTCTCTACACTGGCTCCCAGTTACATTCAGAATAGATTTTAAAGTATTATTACTTGTCTATAAAACACTAAATGGCCTAGGACCTCAATACATTACAGAAATGCTCACTGAATGCAAACCCAACAGATCACTCAGATCTTTAAGGTCATATAAACTAGAAATTCCAAGAGTTCAGTCAAAGCAGGGTGAATTGCTTTCAGCTACTAACAGCGCCCCTCACTGCAGGAATCAGCTTCCAGAAATTATCAGATGTGCTCCATCACTAGACACGTTCAAATCAAGACTGAAAACACATCTGTTTAGCTGTGCCTTTACTGAATGAGCACTGTGCTGCATCCGACAGATGGCACTATTGTGTCTTTCTTCTCTTTTACGTTTTTTTATAACCTGCTTTAACACATTTTAAACTGTTTTTAATTATTTTTTTTATTGTTTTTTTATTTTCTTATACTTGTATTTTTTATTCTTGTTTATGTAAAGCACTTTGAATTGCCACTGTGTAAGAAATGTGCTATATAAGTAAACTTTCCTTGCCTTAAGATGCAAAAAAAAGTGCAAATATGGAAAATTAGCATTTTTCTCAGCTTTGTAAATTTAATGGCGAGTTATATTTCTTTAAAGACCGTAAAAAGACCTTATTTTTGCTATAAAAGTGAAAATTACTGAACCTACACACAGGACCCTGATAAAAATGGTAATTTTTGAAGAAAATTTCAGACGGCACTTAGAGGTTTTTGCATCCGAAATTTTTTTTCCTGGACATTTAAAATGTTTACATATTAAATACCAGTGTAGTAGTATATATTGTTGGATAATCTGAGTGTGTGTGTGTGTGTGTGTGTGTCTGACCTGATGATGCTGTCCACACAGTTGATCTGCTGGTAAGAGGGAATGTGTGGTTGTTTCCGGGCCTTTTGCAGAGACTGTTTCAGATGATCCCGAATCCCCAAATCGTGACTGGAGCTCGCATGAACACCTGCACCTGCAACTGAAGCACATGACAACAAATCAAACACAAATACACAATTAGGAACTCACCAGGGTCTAGTTTATATCCATAAAAGCAAGACAATGCAGATGAATAGAAAAATAAAAATGCTAAACTTCCCCTAACTGATCAATAACAATGCGAATTGGAAAATATTTTACACAAATAAAATTCTAAAATTATATGTTTTAATATGCTAACGAGGCATTATATAATTGAATTCACCCTAATTTACATACATTTCTAGCACAAAAATCTGAATATAGGATAAAATCAGATACATTTTATTTCTTATTTTTTAATTTCACACAATAGTGTTGTCACCATACTGGAATTCGATACCAATCGGTACTGAAATTTTAATAACGTTCATTTCCTGCTAACATTTGAGTGCTGTTGTACACGTTCGTAAACACAGCTGATTATTATTGTGTTCACATGCTCAACAGAAATTACTGTGATTGGCCGTGAAGGTCATCAGTTCACCGAACTCACCACTGTTTATTTGACAGGTATGCTCACCACTGTTCACTGAGTGTAACACAGATGCAGGGACATTGGAGCGTTTCAAAGCCATGAAGATCAGCTGGTCTGTTTATAAGCTGACATAAGAGCGATCTACTGATGAATCAACAGAGCTTCACGTCTTTGAAACGCTCCAGTGTCCCTGTATTTGTTGTTACACTCAGTGAACAGTGGTGAGCATACCTGTCAACATTGGGAATATGTTCATTTTGAGCTGTTTCATTGTAAATAAACAGTTAAATGCTCAGTAATATGTTTTAATAATATTACTAACAAAAGAAAAATAAATATATACATTAGCAGCAAATACATTAGCAAAACAGTTCAGCTTATTAAAATTAATAGCTATTATAATGAAACAGAATCAAGCTATCAATCTCATTAGCCGTTTCTCCACTGTATAACTTACACATTCTGATTAAAGAGCAACGAATGAATCTCTCATTTGTTAAGATTTTTTATTACATTAAATAAGAGGTGTCACTTTAAAAATGCACACATCTAATGTTATAATGAAAGCATTCGACTGTTTTCCTATTTTTTTATGCTCATTTAAGACGAAATTAGTTGTGTTGGAAAAAACCCCCACCAAGATCGACACCCTTATATGTTATTATTAATTATGTGTGTATGTCTGTTTAAACACGCACCCAAACGTCAGACTTTCTCTCCGCTTCAAATCGCGTATACAGAATCCGTTTGGGAAACAGCATCTGTTTATCAGTATGGAGCACGTTAGCTGACAGTCATGCACCATTAAGTTATATGACTGTTTTGAGGATTTTATAGGATGGGCGACGGCACCTGTAATTAAAAGGAAATGGAATCGCGCCGTTTTTTAATATTTATTTATAAGTGTTTTCAGTCCTAAACAAAGCGAAAGCACAGAAGGCTCGCGTTTTAGAGCAAGGGGCGACCCCTGGTGGTTCGGCGGTATGGGTTGTGTATAGGGAGGCTCGGCTGTTCAGAGAAAGACTGAAAATACGGTAAAAAATACGGGAAAATTCCTTTACGGGATGATAGCGGGAAAGAACAGTAAAATACGGGAGAATCCCGGGAAAAATGGGAGGGTTGACAGGTATGGTGGTGAGTTCGGTGAACTGATGACCTTCATGGGCAATCATAGTCTTTCTTTTGAGCAAGTAAACACAATGATAATCAGCTGTGTTTAAGAACGTGCTCAACAGAGCTCAAATGTTCGCGGAAAATTTACGTTATTAAAATTTCAGTACCGATTGGTACTCAATTCCAGTATTAGGACTAAAGCTGAAGATCTTTGCCCGAACCAAACGGGACCCAGTGAGACCCGACAGGGTTTTAGACGGGGGCGGGCCGGGCTTGTGCGGTAAATGAACAGTCATGTGATACATTTCGATTAGTGTGAGAAAGTAATCAAATTGTTGTTACAACATCAAAACCTATCCCTGCAAAGGTGACACAAATTATGACAGAGAAGTCACTCATTCATTTTCGGCTTACTCCCTTTATTAATCCAAGGCCGCCACAGGGGAATGAACTGCCAACTTATCCAGCATGTTTTGACCGAGCGGCAACCCCCCGCTCTCCCTCGGGAAGCCAAGGTTAACCCTCTGGGGTCGAAGACCGCGTATACGCGTTTTGACCTGTAGTGTCGTGAACTTAAATTACACTTTCAGTTTTGACCGTACAGATAAGATCAATACATCAATCGAATCTGTTATGTGTCTACTTTTTGTTGTGTACACTCACAACAACAACAAACGTGTGTCCTTTTGCAAAATAAGGAAAACAATCTGTCTTTTTTCTCTCCGCGATCTGCTTTTAGAAGCGCGTCAATAAAATGCGCTGAAACTCCGCGAAAACTAAACGCACAGAGATGAGATGTGTATCTCTAGAAAGCTTGAAGTGTCTACTTTTAATTGCAGCTCAGGAAGCCAAGGTTAAAGTGCAAGTTAACGTTAAGTTAATGTTAAAATTAAGTTAAAAGCTTCTAACTGATGCTCAGTCTAAACCATATGTAACACAGACCTGCAGTTGCTGGTCCAAGAGCTGTGAGTTTTTTCCGCGACTCCAGATACGCCTGTTGGCCCCAGTTCTTCACTTTATTAACATCAGCACAAAACTGCTGCAGAGTCATCTAGAAGACAGATGATCCATCATGAGCTCCAGTGAACACAACATTCAGAATTTTTTCATTGCATTTTAATTGCATACTGTCTCTCTGTGCGAATCCTCCCAGAGGTTTCCGTTACTGTCGCTGGACGAAGCCACGCTGATGTAGTGCTCGTGAGAGCCGTTACTGCCCAGACTGCCATAACCACTGGATCCATTATTATGAACAGGCTGAGAGAGAGAGATACAGATGATCAAAACACAAACCAGCAGCGTTACTTTGGTGTCATTTACACTATTGTGTTTACTCATATTTTGAATTACCTTTAATTTGTTTTTATCTTCAGTCTTGAGTCAATTTTTAAATCATCATTTGAAATCTAGTTAATTTTATTTTCAGCATTTTGTTTAATGTGTTTGTGCTTCCTTTATTTTGCTTTTGTTTAGATTTCTTTTACCACAAATTTTATTATGTAACTGTTATTTAACAACTGAAGACAGCAGTAATAAAGATAATAATAAACAAAGACACTTTACTTCACTGTTTCCCTATAGTGTTTTCATTTTATAATCAATTCAGCTGACCTCCGGGGTCTGGCTTTTAGCTTATCTTAGCATAGATCATTGAATTGGATTAGACCATTAGCATCTTGCCCAAAAAATTCCCCAAACAGCTCCTATAAGTTTCTTATTTAAAGCTTTACTTGTTTGTAGTTACATTATGTATTAAGACCAGTGTAAAATAAAAACTTGCCATTATCTATGCCCTTGATATGTCTATCAACCATACTTTTCTTCTGGAGTAATGATTAAGAAACTGCTGCCATACCATGATTGCAGCAGATAGAGTGATATTACACAGTACGCTAATGGTCTAATCTGATTTAATAACCTATGCTAAGCTAAGCTAAAAGTGCTTACGGTAGACCCAGAGACCGGTTGAATGGCTTCAAAAATGATAAAACTCAACTTTTTAACACTAGGAGAGCTGTAAAATGAGTCTATTTTCAAAAAGTGGTGTGTTTCTAAAATTATACTTTAAAAAAATAGTCAACAGACTATTAATAATAGTAATAATATTGCATGTTACTGTTTTTATGATCCAGTGATGAGGACCCAAAACTTTTATAGAGCCATATTTGGGGACAATGCTAGGCCTGTCACGTTTATGATTTTTTGTTGTGCCATATATTGTTGTGATAAGCGATACTATAGTCATTCTGAGATACTGAGATCATTTTATGCCACTGATTAGAGAATAATTATACAACAGTACAATGCAAAGAAATGCATAAACACTTTAAAGGGACTAAAGCTCTTCATTCCTAAGGTTATTCAGATTCTGTAATTTGATGTCAAAATTGATTTTAATGTCCTAATTTATATTTATACTATTAATTAAATGTCCAATTATTAACTTGGACATAATCGAGGTTAAATGTAAATGTCCTTGTAAAATGGCTTTACTGTTTTTTTGTGAATTTGTAAATATATATTGCAACAGCAAAAATTATTGAGGTCAAATATTCCACCGTAAGTCAATATATTGATTATTGTGACAGACCTAAGCAAAACCCTATAAAATGTCCTCTTGTCTGTGTGTCTTATGATTAAGTGATCTTTCACCTGCAGGAACAGCTTGTGGATCATGGCTTGCAGCTCTTTAACATCTTCACACGTGACTGGCTGATCGGCTTTACTCCGTGCAGCGAAAACATCCTCATTTAGAGGGCCACTAAAGAAAAGACATGTCAAAAATGTTTCAGTGCAAAATGTGACTGTGCTCTAGCACATGAAGCTAAATAAATTGGCAACTATTAATTAAAAAGATGATTTTTGTTTAAAATACAGGTGACAATCATAAATAATATTTCAAAATATATATATATATATATATATATATATATATATAAATAAATAAATTTATTTATTTATTTGTTTATTTGTATATATGTATATATATATACAGGTGACAATCATAAATAATATTTCAAAATATATATATATATATATATATATATATATATATATATATATATATATATATATATATATATATATATATACACACACACATACACACACACACATGTTTTTAAATCTCAGTTTGAATAAACGATTTAATAATTCCCTCAAAAAGACCTCATGCTTTATTACTGGATGAATCAGCATTCATGAAGAATCACTTGAATCAATTGTTCAGCAACAAACACTGTTTTAATGGTTGCTTGTTGTCAACTATCGAATGTGTGCTATATGATTCAGGATAAACTGGAAATTGTAACTTTGAGTAAAATACAGATCACAAATTGTTTACAGAACTTTTTTAAATCCCAGTTTGAATAAACTTCAATAACTCACTCAAAAATACGTCATGTCTAATTACTGGATGAATCAGCATTCGTGAGTGAAGAATATCTTGAATCAATTGTTCAGCAATAAACACCGTTTTAATGGTTGCTTGCTGTCAACTTCCGAATGTGTGACATAGCTACATGATTCTGGATAAGTTGGGAATCATAATTTAGCTTAAAATAGAGAGATCATAAATTAATTCCAGAACATTTTTTAAATCACAGGTTGAATAAATGATTAAACAATTCACTCAAAAAGACGTCATGTTTCATAACTAGATGATTCAGTATTCGTGAAGATTCTCTTGAATCAAGACAAACTTCAATGGTGGCTTCTTGTCAACTATTAGTGTAAGTGTGATTGCTAAAACCTACAAATTTGATTCTAATCACAACAACAGACATCAGTGTTCATAAACCAATTATAAGCCATCCAAGCACTTCTGTTAAAGTTTGAATTTGCTAAATAAATAATACTGACTAAAAAGTCTAAATATTTAATATGTCTCATAATTATACATGACGACTACTCTCTGGAGCAAAACACAGATCTGGAATGACCATCAAAGAAGAGGTCTGCAAAGAAGAGACCCAACCATAGTTCTGCGGCGCAGGAATAAAATTGCGAATAAAGTGCAGGAGCGGACTGTAACTGGTTTAATTTTGGACGGGAGCGGCGGTCTAACAATATCGCTTCCGACCCCAGAGCATGCGTATGTATGTGAGCAAATGACACAGCGTGATGCTGCGATTAGCTTATTTGGTGCAGTGTGTGCGCGCGCAAATGAAAGGTGTGTGTGTGTGTGTAAGCGCGAATGAGAGAGAAAGCTTTGTGCTGTGTGTGTGTGTGTGGTGATGCCTATGTGTGTGTGTCACTTGCTTGGTGCTTAAGGCTGATTTATACTTCTGCGTCAAACACCGGCGTATGCTACGGCGCTGACACATAGCCCGTCGCCATCACTGACGTGCACCTCTCAAAAAATTTAACTAAACGTCGCAACAACGCGTAGCGCAAGCTCTGTGATTGGTCGGCTTGGTAGCGCTGACGAGTCGGGGCGGGACCGAGAGCTGCACGAATGGCGCGAACCCAATGTAGCGATTGTTTACAAGTGTGGAGTCCCGTGAAGGAGCTGCGGATGGAGAGTTTTGTTTTGTGTTTACCTCATAGTTAAAGTTGTTGCACGTCCACCTGTTCCTGCCTCAAAATGAGCGAGTTTGAGCCACTTGTACATTCCGGAAGTGTTCAGGAAACGCAAAAAAGCAGCGAAGAAACTCGACACAGAGGAACATTTACACCTCACTGCCATCTAGCGTTTCGGAAGTGTTCAGTAGACCAACAGAGACAGCGCGCAGAAGTATAAATGCACAGCTAAGCGCATTGCCTGCGCCGTGGGTTACGCCGGTCACTTGACGCAGAAGTATAAATCAGGCTTTATGTGTGTGTGTGTGTGTGTGTGTGTTTATACAGACAGCTGTCTGGACTCAGTATAGCTGGGTGGTTACCGGTTTTGTTCTCCCTACTGCTCGTTAGTGGGAATGTGCGCGACGGGTAGAAAACGGGGCAGGTCGGACAGCATGACAACAAATGCTGAATATAAGTGAAAGCGGTCGGGTTCGGGCTAAAACCTGGCGGGAGCGGGATTCAAAATGAAGTCCCGTGCAGATCTCTACATCAAAGCCTTATTAAACACACACAAATCTTGACTATTTAGAATAAAGTTGGTATTTGTGTTTGAATGAAGACTGTGATTCACAAACATTTATGAGTCTGCACTTACGTGCGAACTTTGTGCCTGCCGATGATGAAGGCCACCTTTCGGCTCCATGGGTTGATGAAGCTGGACCAGCTGGAGTCCAGGGTGACGTAATCTCCGTTCTGACAGCGGAAGCGGATGGGCGAATGCTCAAACGGAGGCTGACCCGCGTACTTCACAACTGACAACATGACAAAAAAATACAAGTGTTCAGTAAAGGAATTTAAACTCACACTCTAAGGCCATCTAAGATATCGATAACTTTTTCTTAAGTGGATATTAAGGGGCCATTCACATATCACATCTTTTGGAGTTGCTGTGGTAGGAGAAGCCAGTGTAGGTTTTTTTTTCCTATATAATAAATTATAACCAATTTGGAAGATGAAGATGAAATGCAATAAATGACTTTTGGAGAGGGGAGACAATGCTCAAGACATTTCAGGAGGTAATAATAATAATAATAAATAATACTGAACCACTGTGATGACAGGCTTTGGCTGAGGAATTTTAAAATTATCTAAACAACATTTTAGATGTTTCAAAATGTAGATGGCCTGCTAGTTTGTCCATTAATGCCATCCTATTGTGTCCCAGTTCAGAAATGAAAGTAGACTGCTATTGTGCTGTATAAATTGATTTGTGCGCCTGTCAAAAGTAAATTTAAAATTAAATGTATTCTGTAAACGTGTTTCCATTGCAATTTTTTATGCTAATTTGCAATGTAGTTTATGCAAATTGGATAAAAAAAAATTCTATTCAGCTGTACGGCGCTTTTGTTTTGGTGCATTTGCATAATTTATGTGGATCTTGGCGTTTCCATTAAGTGTTTTTAATGCTAGAGTGAAAGGTGCTCGTAAAAAATAGTTAAATGGAAAAATCCATGCAGGGGTGGTTCCTTAGAGCAGTGTTCCTGAAGGCACATCAACAGTACACATTTTCAACCTCTTCCTAATCAAACACACCTGAATCAACTCCTCAGAACAAGTTTATGGGTTAGATGAGGAAAACATCTAAATATGTACTGTTTGTGTGCCTCCAAGAACACTATTGGGAAACACTAACTGCGTCCCAAATGGCACTTTATACACTATGCACTCATGCACTATGTACTTATGCACTTACACACTCAACCGGATAGTATATGTATGTAGTGTCGTCCCAAATGGAGCACTAATGTTTTTTTACTAAGCAGAAATTTAAACCGTTTCCCTGATGACGCTTGACGGTTGCCAAATCAGTGAAATAAACGACCGAATTATCAAATAATACCTACCGTGAGTATAACCGCATTCACCATCGGGAGGCGCTATAATCACTCTCGTAGGAGAATTTTGCTTTCACCATCAAAACTAAATAAAGTTATTTAACATTTGCGTCCGATAGCTCCGCCCCTTCCTCTACGTAAGTCAACCTGCGGTCGTTGAGTGCGTGAAGTGTCCATCATTACACACTACATTTTACCAGCTGAATGAGTGCATCATCTGGGTAATTAAAGTGCTCTTATTATTTTTAGAGTTTTCAGTGTGAACGCACTACTTACACTATTTATACTACAAAATGGCGTAGAATAGTGCATAAGTATGCGATTTGGGATGCAGCTATTGCCTTAGAGAGAGCAGCTGATAGTTGCTTAGCAATGAAATTGCCAATGGAGCTACTGAGTGCGTTGAAATTTGTAGAGGATGTGGCGTGCTTCGCAGTTTCCATGCTATTATATGCCATATGACATGAACAGCCACTGAAGAAGCCTTTTAGCTGAAACGGTTAAACATATTTCTAAAGATGCTGTTGACTTTAAATTTCCACCAGACGTTGGTAACAACCAAATAAAATCCATATATGCAAAAAAAACTATATTAATTAGCTTACAAATCAAGTTATTTGTAATAAAATGAAATGATGCAAGAAAAAAAGTACTGAACACATGAGGAAAGGGACGTGTACTAAGCCAGGGAAAGCCCAGACAGCAGCTGAAATCTCTCAGTAGTTCTTCAGCAACCCTCCTTGTGTCATTTCATTGTTATTACACATAACTCATTTTCAGATTATTTTGTTTTGTTATATTTTTATGTCTGTATTGTTTGGGCTTTTACCGAAATTTGGTTCAATTCCATGCTCCTTCAGAATATTAGTCCCCCCAACCCACCCACCCACCAAAAAAAATAAAGATGTGTTTAATATATTTCCCCCCTTTCTATACATGACATTTCAGTACAATTTATAAATAGAAAAAAAGTTGTTTTTAATGAATATTTAGAATCAGATTTACTTTTATATTCACTGTTTTCATTTAAATTCCGGTCAGTCATGTTAGGTTTCATTTATTTTTGACTTAAGTTTTCACTGATAAAGATGTGAAATGGAGAAATGGATGTACTTTTGCGGTGCATGGCCAGCATGAGCAGCCGGTCGTCTGGATGCAGGCAGGTCAGGACTGAGGTACCGATCAGGTCTTGAGGGAGGTAGCCGAGCAAAGGCACCGCACTGCAGACAGTTCAAACCATTTGGTAATTTGTATGAATGACTTTTAAAGCAAAAAATAAATTAATTAATTAAAAATCTAGGACAAAAAACAACAACAACAAAACACCAACTGAATAAACTCCATTTAATTTTTGTGTGGTTATATAAAAAGTGACACTGCAACTTGCCATCAGTGCAAAATAAGCAGCATTACAAAACATGCCACAATAAGCAGCAGCCTATTGAAAATGATTTATTAATATGAACTGTAGTAGACATTTAAAAAGCTGGAGTCTGTTCTTTGTACCTTGAATAAATGATCTAAGATGATTTGGCAGATCCTGGATCTGTTCCTCTTGATAACTGACCTCTGGCTAATTTGGTTTTTAAAACAAGTTTGTAATCAGATTAAAATATCTGGATGAACTGATCTGAGATCTCTGCTTGTGTTGAGATCTCTGCGTGTGTTGTGAAGGACAGATCTATCGATCTTTGAAATCATGATCAGCAATGCAACGATTGGCTGACGGCACAGCAGCGTAATGACATCATCTGATTAATATTCAATTATCCATGTGAGCTAAATGACATCAAATTCGCAGTAAACAGTTTGTTAAATATGATACGCAATAACTTTACACCTTGTTGTGGGCTAGAGGCTTTACCCTTTCATGTGTCAAGAGCAATTTATTTAGTTTTACAGTTAGAGCGGATTTCCTTATTATAGTAACCATAGTAATATTATAGTAGCTCTGGGATCAGTTTTGACGAACGAACAATCCTGGATCGTGTCAAATTGCCGATATCCAAATCCAGCTAACTGAGTAATCCACGTACGAAGAACAGACTACTGAAGTTTTCTTACAGCTAATCACCCAAATAAACAAAAAAAAGGTTAAATAATTAACTTCAAGCTACTTATTTATAAAATTTTTGAAATATAAATAAAACCTATTTGATAAAAAAAAAAGCTTACCGGTCATCCACTTCTAAAAAGACACATCCTGGTGAATGAGTCGTGCTGAATATGCGCTTGTCCATAGGAATGCGAGGAGCTGGAGACAAAAACAAACAAACAAACAAACAAACAAACAAAAAAATGATATTAATGATATTCTGAATAGACAGACAAGAGTAAGGACATTTGACCTAAACATTAAACTAATGGCAATCGGCACTTTAAGAATGAAAAGAAAAAAAACATACACATTTGAACTAAACATTGAACTAATGGCTACCGGCACTTTAAGAATGAAAAAACAAACACAAAAAAAAAATTACAAGCAACACAAAATGAATACTCATGGCCTCTAACAATACACAAAGGAGTTATGAAGTGAACAATCAGTAATGTATTATTACACGGTTATTACATTTGTTTGTCATATTTTCTGGCACAAACGAAGCAGTGGAATTTGTTGTGCAATTTATATATAGTTTGTAAACAATATGTTAAATTAGCTTACACTTTTAGCATTTCAGTTTTCATTTGAATTATAGTGAGTTGTGTTCGGTTTTATTTACCGTTTATTTTCCCAAATTCTGTTTAACGGATAGCAGATTTTTTTCAAAAGATTTCTAGACATAATAGTTTTAATATCTCTAATAGCTGTTTATTTTATCTTTGCCATGATGACAGTACATATTATTTGAGTATACTATTATTTTAGATAATTGTCAAGACACTTCTATACAGCTTAAATAGACATTTAAAGGCTTAACTAGGTTAATAGTTAGGTTAATTAGGCAAGTTATTGTATAACGATGGTTTGTTCTGTAGACAATTGAACAAAAAATAATGCATAAGGGGGCTAATATTATTGACATTAAAATAGTTTAATTCTAGCCAAAATAAAACAAATAAGACTTTCTCCAGAAGAAAAAATATTATAGGAAATACTGTGAAAAATTCCTTGCCCTGGTAAACATCATTCGGGAAATATTTGAAAGAAAAATTTACAAGAGGGCGAATAATTGTGACTATAACTTTATAAGTAAACATTTGTACTGCACATTAAATTATCCAACACTACATGTTGTATACCCTCATATCCTGAGATGATGCGTTCGGCGAGGGCCAGACAACACGGTTCCTCCTCTCCACTGGAACCCTGAACCTTCAGCAGGTACGGAGTGATCCGGAACGGACTATAGCGCATGTCTCCATCCCGGTCCTTCCCTCCTCTGAATGCACACATATAATATCAAGACATTAAATGAGTAAAGTCTAATTCTAAAGTACACATGAAGCAGAAATTCAGTGGTAAATAACTGACCTGATTCGACAGAAGAAGGATTTGACCTGCGCACATTCAAACAGAACCGCCGCTACAAAGAGAAGAAGAGATCTTTGTGAAACTTCAGAACAATGAATGGAGTTTTAAAGGCTCTATTCTGCTTTAATGAAAATGAGCTGTCATGTATTGTGTACTTTAGATGGTTTTGAATGTAAAAGGTGTGCAAATTTTGATAGATCAAAGTGTGGTAATTGCTGTTACGCTACTGCATTTATACATGCATGATATTATGTAATATTTAATGTATAAATATCGAGGATGGTGTTTTTAATAATATCACAGAAACCAAATTTCAAAACTGTAATTAGGTTTTATATACAGGGTTCTCACTGGAATACAAATATCCCTGACTTTTCCATAATTTTTAACAACTTAACAGCTGAATTTCCATGACCAGGTTATGTAAAGCTGGATTTATACTTTTGCCTGGCGCTGTATCGCGCACCTCTGCTGACTGAGCACGCACCTCACGGACAAGGCTTTTATACTTGAGTTCACCATTGTGATATTCTTTAAAATGTAGGGTGGTCAAATAAAACTGACTGTAAAATCAGACGGATAAACAGAGAAGTAAAAAGTGTCCGGAACTACGTCATATCATCAATATCATTTAAGATTTTTAAACAAATTATTTTTATTGTTTTTCTAAATTATTTTATTGATTTTAAGGATTTTTTTAACCATTCAAGATTTTTTTAATCAATTTTTGATGCATCACTTGCTTTTGTTTATATCTCGAACAGTTCTACCTATTATAATTTATTCAAATATTAATGACAGGAGAACATGAGTTGCTCTACAAATATACTTTTATTAAGGCAAGAATAAAAGCAAAAAAAGTACAACTTACTAAAAAATACAGATTTTTTTTAGATTTAGCTCGCTCAATTCACACATTAGTGCCAGGCTAGTTTCTGTCCTCTACTTAAGCTAAAAAGGCAATAGTGGTCCCACATGCCTGACCATTATCACCAATGAAGCTTAGAAAAACAGGCATCAGTATTTTGTAAACCGAAAGGTTCAAATATTCCTTTCTAGTTATTAAAGACATAATTTGTTCCTTAATTATAGTTTTGTAACTATTAAACTGTTTTAAATGATAAATTAAACACATCAGTGGAAAACCTATGACTGGTGGAAAAACATATTTCAGTAATTGTGTAGCTGACGTTCCACTTTTGCCATGGCCTCTTTTGGCTTTAAAAAGCTTAACCCTCAGGTTTATCCAAACCTTTTGACAAAAACTTTCCTCCTTTCACACTGCTGTTGCAATTTCTAGCCAAGAGTTATTGGTCATCTGGTTCTCTCTATGAGGACGGATCATAAAGATGTCTGTACAGTCGTACTGTTTCAGACAAAATCTCTTCAAAAGTGATTCATATTCAACTCAAATCAGTTGCAGCGCCGCGCACTGTTCGCTCCAGTCTCAAAAAAAAAAGCATGTGCTCCGCCAGCCGAAATCATGTCGCGCGCAACCAAAGTAAACCTCCGCAAACTCCGTGATGACGTCACATTTGCTGCAAGCACTCAAGCAAACTAGCGGACGTGTCGAGTATGAACCAGGTTTTAGACAGACCAGGGGCTCTATTTTGACGGTCCATGCGCAGAGCGCAAAACGCAGGGCGCAAATGCTTTCAGGGCGTGTCAGAACGCATTTTTGCTAATTTACGGAGGGGAAAATCTGCTTTGCGCCGTGGCACATGGTCTAAAAGGGTTGAGTTTATTTTCTTAATGAGTTATAGGTGTGTTTTGAGAATAAACCAATCAGAGTCTCATCTCCCATTCCCTTTAAGAGCAGCTGCGTCGCGCCAAGAGCGCATTCGCTATTTACAGGACGCAAAGTAAGTCTAAGTGGAAAAAATGAGCATTTCACTAGTAAACAGTTACCAGTTAACAGTTTTTTTTACAGAAAACTGTTAAACAGAGCATCTACTGCGTGAGAATGAGAGATAATGGATCTATTTTCACATTCGCTCTTGGATAGGGAAACCTTTACGCACAGACATCAATTAGTCTATAAATAATTAATTGCGTTTGTTAAGAGCAAATATTCGTTTCAAAACTATTTCTAAATTCAGTTCTAATTTCCAGCAAACGAATAAATGAAGAATAATAACAAAGTGTGTTCAAAAACCTGAGTTATATCCTAAAACACATGCTGTGCCCCATATGGTCTAAAACCTGACAGGTGGGCAAATCTAAGCTTGTTTTTAATAAAACAAATATAAATATGGATATAATAAATAATACTGCTAATAATAATAACATTATACAAAAGCAAATTGTTATGAATGAACTGAAAAAGCTTCCCGAGATGAAGAAGACATAAAAGCAGTGGTTTTTCATATTTATGTAGGCTAGAAAATAATATGTTTTGTAATATTTTAATCCTTTATATTTATATCCTATATCTATTCTTATTATTTCCTATATATATCCTTAATATTGAAATTTTTTCATATGTAATGATATTTGCCTATTGCTCTCTTGTGCGTATTAAGCAGTGCGTAAGCGAGGCGCAACTCTGCTCTGGAGCTTAGACCGGGTTTGTTTTGGTCTAATGAAAAATATATTTTAGTTTTTTTAGCAACGTGTCAGCAGTGCGCCTCAGAACGCCTTCCTTTTTAGACCAGAACGCCTATGGGCGCACATATGAGCGCAAATGCATTTGCTAATTAAACAGCGTAGCGCAACGCCTCAAAACAACTCTTGTGCCAAGCTAAAACTAGCAAACAAGTATTGCGCCTCGCCTTGCGCCACATTGCGCCGGGTGTACGATATTGCCCCAGATATTTAAACCAGCTCTTTCAGACCTAATGAAAAAGAGCTGATGCTCAAGTGCCTATTATGAGAAAACAAAGGTGATATTTTTGACCTTGAACAGATGTGAACCCATTATAACGACAAGAAGACCTCTAGAACAACATTGGATACTCTTAATAGTTTAATTTTGATTTAATTTGGAGTATAACTTGTTCTAGAGAGACTCACCGCTGTCTGTGCCCAAGTTCCAGGATGGCAGTCGTGGCTGTGCGGTATGAGAGTAAAACACATTGACGTCCTGATGGTACAGCATCTCCACAAACTTGGCCGATTCCAGGAACTTCCTCTTGCAGTGGAGCACACTGGAGGCTTGCTCAGACGCATAAACCACTTTCCCCGAGGCCAGAGAGAAAACTACCACAAAAGAGTCCTGAGGAAACCAGAGAGCTTGTGAACTCCTTGATGCACACATTACAGGAAGACAAACAGAGTCACTTTCTTTATTACCACACCCAGTAACCAGCTGATAAATCACATTACCAATTGAAGGACCTGTAGTCTCGTACCGTACCATGTTTTTGGAGTATCTGTTCAGTGGGGTTTTTGAAGTGTGTATCCTGTAGTTTACCGTGTTTTTGTATGGTAGGGTACAGTGTTTTAACTGTGTTCTATGCAGTTTGCAGGTTTTTAAGCGTATACTGTGTTTTTAAGGCTATATTTTAAAGCTTACTGTATTTTTCAGCATGTATGTTGAAGTTTACAGCATTTTTCAGCATGTATCCTGTGGTTTACTGTATATTTCAGCATGTGCTCTGACTTGAACCATGTTTTGAGAGTATGATGTAGTGTACAGTGTTTTTAAGTATGTATCCTGAATTCACTGTATGTTTGAGCCTGTATCCTGCAGTTTACTGTATTTTTGACCGTGTATCCTGAAATTACTGAATTTGAGCACGTATGCTGTATTTTTAAGCATGTGCCCTGAAGTTTACTGTATTTGAGCATGTATCCTGAAGTTTACCGTATTTTTGTGCAAGCATCTTGCAGTTAACTGTATTTTTGAGCATGTACCAGTGGTATACTGTTTTACTGAGCATGTATCCTGAAGTTTTATGCATTTTTTTAAATGTACTAGAGATTTACTGTATTTTTGAGCATGTATCCTGACGTTTACTGCATTTTTGAGTATGTATCCTGCGGTTTACTGTATTTTTGAGCATATACCAGAGCTACACTGTATTTCTGAGCATGTATCCTGAAGTTTACTGTATTTTTGACCGTGTATCCTGAAATTACAGTATTTTTGAGCATGTATGCTGTAAGCATGTGTCCTGAAGTTTACTGTTTTTGAGCATGTATCCTGAAGTTTACAATATTTGTGTTCATGTATCCTGAAGTTTACTGTATTTTTGAGTATGTATCCTGCGGTTTACTGTATTTTTGAGCATGTACCAGAGATATACTCTAGTTCTAAGCATGTATCCTGAAGTTTACTGTATTTTTTAACATGCACCACAGGTTTACTGTATTTTTAAGCATGTATCCTGACGTTTACTGTATTTTTGAGCATGTACCTGAGGTATACTTTATTTCTGAGCATGTATACTGAAGTTTACAGTATTTTTTAGCATGCATTTTAAAGTTTACTGTATTTTTGATTATGTATCCTGACGTTTACTGTATTTTGTATGTATATATATATATATATATATATATATATATCCTGGTTTACTGTATTTTTGAGCACATATCCTAAAATATACTGTATTTTTGAGCATGCATACAGACCTTTTTTAGCATGCATCCTGAAGTATACTGTATTTTTGAGCATGTATAGTTTACTGTATTTTTTTTTACATATATTCCGATTCACTGTATTTTTGAGCACATATCCTGTAGTTTCTAAACTAATAGTACAGTAGTACTGTATTTTAGCACATATTCTTAAGTTTACTGTATTTATGAGCACATATTTTGAAGTTGACTGTATTTTTTAACATGTATCCTGCAGTTTACTGTGTCTTTAGCATGCATCCTAAAATTTACTGCATTTTTAAGGATGTATTCTGCAGTTTATTGTATTTTTTAACAAATATTCTGGTTTACTGTGCTTTTGACTGCATAGCAGTCCCTTTATTATTCTGGTCTCGCCACAGTGGAATGAACCGCCAACTTATCCAGCAAGTTTTTACACAGCGGATGCCCTTCCAGTCGCAACCCATCTCTGGGAAACATTCACACACACTACAGACAATTTAGCCAACCCAATTAACCTGTACCGCATGTCTTTGGACTGTGGGGGAAACCGGAGCACCCGGAGGAAACCCACGCGAATGCGGGGAGAACATGCAAACTCCACACAGAAACGCTAACTGAGCCGAGGCTCGAACTAGCGACCCAGCAACCTTCTTTCTGTGAGGCGAACGTGCTACCCACTGCGTCGCCCAAGATCTGTACTGTAGTCTATTATATTTTTGAGAATGTATCCTGTACGTTACTGTATTTTTGAGCATGTATTCTGTTTTTAAGAGTATAGTTTCCAGCACGTGTCCTGTATTTTGCTGTGTGTATGTTGACTTGTACCATGTTTTTTAAGTATGTCTTGTAGTGTAACATGTTTTTGACACTTTTGAGCATGTGTCCTATAGCTTACAGTGTGTTTGAGTGTATACTGTGTTTTTTCACGATATTTAATCAATAATTACTGAAAAAAAAAAAAAAAAAAAAAAAAAAAAAAAAAAAATATATATATATATATATATATATATATATATATATATATATATATATATATATATATATATATATATATAATATATTTACATGACTTTTTTTAATTATACATTTTGTATCACTGTGTTTACAAGTGCTAAAAGCTGAAATTTGACACCGAAAATTGAAAAGTGGTTAAACAATCACAACTGACTATGCCATCTAACCAATAAGATTACAGTTTATGACCATATACTGTGTCTTTGAGCATGTATCCTATAGTTTACAATGTTTAAGTGCGTGCCCTGTAGTTTACTGTGCATTTATTGTGTGCATACTGTGTTTTGTGCATGTGTGCAGTTCAAATCAAATGAAATCCAATCACTTTTATTATCACATCACCAACAGCACTCGTGCTATGATGAGTGAAAAGCTGAGCTGCAGGCTCCAGACAGTGCAGAATACAAATGACACACTTTACAAGGCCAATACACATTTAAATACACTCAACACACAAATAGACAATTAAAATGCGAGATACACACACAAGATAAAAGATAGTACATAATACAGATTCAACATATGCACACATATACATATCATTTGACTGTTCGATATAGGCAGTACTGCTTTGTTAAAGCAAAAGTTCAGGTAAAGTGCAGTACATTCTACATTGTGGTGGTGTAAACGCAGTGAAGAGTATGGAAATAATCAGTTTGCTGTAAGTGTTCATAAGCCTGATTGTCAGGGGTAAAAAGCTGTTGTGCAATACAAAAAACATGTTTTTGAGCATAAGTCCTGTAGTTTACCTTGTTTTAAGTGTGTGTTTTGAATTATACCTCATTTTGGAGCATGTGCAGTGGTGTACAATGTTTTTGAACATACAGTTGAAGTCAGGATTACAATAGTATTCAGCTTAAAGTGCCATTTAAAGGGTTAACTAGATTAATTAGGCAAGTTAGGGTATAATGATTAGGGGTGTAACGATTTATCGTTGTAAGATTTATTGCGATGCAAAAATGTCACCATATGCATCGTGGCGTTATGACGATTTGATTACGATATGACGTCTGTTTTCTCTTATTAGTTGAGCTGTTTGCACGTGAGCTACGTTCCACCTGCTGTCGCACGTGAGTTCAGATTGCAGCAGCAGTAATGTTAGCAGACCAAGATGAGTGGAGCTGAAATAGAGGATGGCCCATCCTCTGAAAAGCAGACGTCTGGCAACATTTCGGTTGTACAGTCATTGCTTTAGACTCGTCCGCTTTTTGACAAGCATACTGGGTCAAACATCCTAAGTTATAAAGTCTTCACACATTTACATACTTTGCACAGCGACATGGATACCTCCTAATGCTGTTAAAAGAGTCACATACTGTATTTATAAGGTACAATTCACCCTAAAATATCATTCTGTCTTCATATAATGATGTATTGGCGGCCGCAAAATCACACATGATGTGAGCTGACCGTGAGCTGTTACTACAGAGGGCGGACTATGATAGACGCGCGCGTATGGCAAGCCATTTTAGCATTTAAACCTTTGTTCTGACTATCCATAAATATATTTAGAGATATCTCTAATTATATTTTGACTAGTCATAATTATAATTCGACTAGCCAGAATGACAATTAGAGATATCTGCAATTACAATTGTAGTAGTACTAAATCAGATTGGAGATATCTGCAAATATATTATGACTAGTCATATTCCTCCATTGACTTCGATTGAAAAATATTTGCAGATATCTCTAAATGAGTTGACTAGTCACAATTGTAATTAGAGATATCTCTAAATGAATTTAATTAAATATGAATTAAATATATTTATGGATAGTCAGAACAAAGGTTTAAATGCTAAAACGGCTTGCCATACGCGCGCGTCTGCTTCAGTGAATAGAACCTGCAGGTTGTGACTAACAGGTAATAAAGTAGTAAACAACATTCAGTTTGTGGAACAGAGTTATCGTTCAGGAGTCGCGTGGGAAGTATGAACAGCAGTGGAAATGAAACCGAAAGCGTGCACATTATTTAAATAATCATGTCGCATTTTAGAGTTATGATTACGACGAGCATGAACTCTTTTAAGTACAGAGGTACACAAAAATGCACGTCAACATGATATACTTAATAGCGCCGACATCAGCGACCCCGAAGAAATAGTAAACCTGCCTAAACTGCTGAAAAGAGCCACGACTGTCCTGTGTAATGAAAAGACGGCCACCCTGTCACTAATCATGCCCAACATGAAGACAGCCATCCATAAAAACCTCTCAGACAGATACACATCAGTTCAGGATTATTTTATAGAACTGCTGATTACATGGAAATGTAGATTTTTTTTTTTTTTGCACACACAAAAACGCAAGTGACCATGCAAAGCCTTAAGCTCTTACTGTTAAATTCAATTGAATTGAATCATTTCAATAATATTTTATAAGAAGTTTTTAAATTGTTTTATTTTCCAGAGACAGTCCTGTTTAATTTATTTTCTTAAAGAAGGTTCAGTTTAACAAGTTGAAACAAAAGAAATACATAAAAAATAGTTTACTTGGTAATTAAATTTTTTTAAATAAAATTTGCATTTCAGTTTAATTTTCAAATTTTATTCCAAATATCGTGATACATATCGAATGGTGAACATTATATCGTGATACACATTGTATCGTGAGCTGAGTGTATCGTTACACCCCTAATAATGATGGTCTGTTCTATAGACAATCAAAAATTAATACAGCTTAAGCGGGCTAATAATAATGACCTTAAAATAATTTTGCTTTCATTCTAGCCGAAATAAAACAAGTAAGACTTTCTCCAGAAGAAACAATATTATAGGACATACTGCGAAAAATTCCTTCCCCTGTTAAACATCATTTGGGAAATACTGAAAAATTTCACAGGAGAGTGAATAATTCTGATGTCAACTGTATGTTCTGTAGAGTACTGTGTTTTAGTGAGTCTGTCCAGTAGCATGTGATATTTCTGAGGATGTGTCCTGTGGTTTACCGTGTTTTTAAGTGTGTGTTCAGAAGTGAATCCCTCCAGCTCCTCCAGTGTGCACACAGTGGCGTCCCGTCTCTCGTCCAGGCCGCTGCTCATCAGTAAGTTGTAGTACTCGCTGTTTGCTGCAGAGGGAGACAAAGGAGGCATCAAATGAGAACCACAGCACTGTTAATCAGCGTGTTTAGATTTTAGATTCTTCAAGATGAAGATAACTGAGGTTAGAAACTCTGGTTATTTATAGTGAGTTAGGAATGCTCTGATTGGTGAATCATGTGTTAATGCAGGACCATCCTTGGTCAATCATAAGCTTGTGATCCTCTCAAAATTAGTTTATAAATAAAGAGTGTTTCTACAAGTGGTTTGTCAAGCTTACTCTCCTGTGTGAGGCACACTTGATGAATGTGCAATGTTTTTTTATTTAGAGATATGGAGTGATAAGAAAGTGTCTGATGCAAATGTGTAAAACTGGTGTAAGTGCAGGTTAAAATGTCAGAGAGATGAAAGAATGTTTTTTCTACAGGTGGTTTGTCAAGCCCACTCACCTGGGTATTAATAAAACATTATTAATAAAATAAATGTAATAAAAAAACAGCGTGTGAACCTGCCGTAAAGAGCAAGAAAACAACAATTTTGTAACATAAATTTAACAAAAATGGCAGGAATATCCAAAAACAACAGATATTCAAAATTATATAACAACAGATATTTAATTTGCTGATAATATAGTGAGAAAGTTTTGAAAGTGGTATGTTTTTGTGGCATAAATAAAATGACAGAAATAGTTTAATGTACTTTATAAGATTATTTTTAATTTAAAAAATGTAATGTATATTGCCGTATAACATCAGAAATTCTACTGTAGTAATAATAATATATATATATATATATATATATATATATATATATATATATATATATAAACTTTAATATTTTATTGTGTTTATTGTGTATTTTATATAAAATTTATAAAATAAAAGCTTTAAATTTTTAAGCTAAATAAATTACCCAAGAATAGGCAATACAAAATAATAAAACAAAGTAATTTAACTTGCGGTAATTTTCTGACTTTTTAAAATTTACTCCAACATTACTTTATTGAATTTTGAATTAATTTAATTTAACTCTGTAATTTTATCTCATACAACAAAATAAACAAAAAAATTAAATAAATAAATAAATGAATAAACAAACAGGTTTTTGGTAATTGTTTCATCTATTAGCAAAACTTGATAAAAATCGCTTAAACATTCAATTCTGTTGCCATTATTGAGACTTAACCATTTTAACTAAAACATTTTAAAACACTTTTTAAAAAAAATATCCTAGTCAGTTTTTTTAAATGACCACGACCAAAAAAACAAACAAAAAAAAAAAAGCCTAAACGTAATGTTGACTCTCACTGACCTACAACAGATGTTTAAAGAATTTTGAGAATGAAGCTATGAGGATACAGGAAATATACCTCAACCACATTTCAGCATGCCATGATTCCTTAATCAACTCAATGAGCTCAAGTGAAAACTTTCAGCATCTCAATCCAGTCTCCATACTAGAGCTGCACGTATAAACTCTGTATAAATACAGTAATTAAATGCAGTTCTCTAGCTCCTGGTCTACTATAGTTCAGACTCGACATTGAATATTTACAACATTGATGCTGAAACTATATAAACTGTGCAGCCCTACTTCATACTGTAAAACACAGTGGCAGTGCAGCGCAGACACAGTAAACAGATTTAGCATGGATTCAGAGCCAGCGAGTGCTTTGGATCTGAACTGGGCCTCTGACGGACTCTTATATAATCACAGACGCTCGCATCTAAATGTGTGCAGCAGCTGCAGCTCGAGTGGCGTCATACTGTAAGTGTGTGTGCGTGTGTTTATGTTTACCTTGTACTTGTTTGACACAGTTGAGAGCGTAGTGCAGAGCCTCCACAGTGCTGGCTTTACTGCGGCTCCTCTTCTCAGACGGCAGACGCTTCTTCATCTCCTGCACCGTATGCATCATCTCTCTGTGTGTGTGCTCGCGCCCGGTCTCCGTCTGCTCACTGCAAACATACATACATACACACAGACACAAACACGTATAAAAACAGACACACACAGCACAGACACGCAAAAGACACAGACACAGACACACAAAACAGACACACGTGCGCACAGACAGACACAGACATACGCACACACACACAGACATGCACGCACAGATACACAGACAGACAGGCCCACAGACATACACAGGCACATACATAGACAGACAGACAGATAGATAGACAGATAGACGGATAGATAGATAGATAGATGGATAGATAGATAGATGGATAGATAGATGGATAGATGGATAGATGGATAGATGGATAGATAGATAGATGGATAGATAGATAGATGGATAGATGGATAGATGGATAGATAGACAGATAGACAGACAGACAGATAGACAGACAGACAGATAGATAGACAGACAGATAGACAGACAGAAAGACAGATAGATAGACAGATAGATAGACAGATAGATAGATAGACAGACAGACAGACAGACAGACAGATAGATAGATAGATAGATAGAGACAGATAGACAGATAGAAAGACAGACATACGGATAAACAGACAGACAGACAGACAGACAGACAGACAGACAGACAGACAGACAGACAGACAGACAGACAGACAGACAGACAGATAGATAGATAGATAGATAGATAGATAGATAGATAGATAGATAGATAGATAGATAGATAGATAGATAGATAGATAGATAGATAAACAGACAGACAGACAGATAGACAGACACACAGACAGACAGACAGACAGACAGACAGACAGACAGACAGACAGACAGACAGACAGACAGACAGACAGACAGACAGACAGATAGATAGATAGATAGATAGATAGATAGATAGATAGATAGATAGATAGATAGATAGATAGATAGATAGATAGATAGATAGACGTATGGATAAACAGACAGACAGACAGATAGACAGACACACAGACAGATAGACAGACAGACAGACAGACAGACGTGCACACACACATACAAGACACACACAGGCACATGCACAGACAGACAGACAGACAGACAGACAGACAGACAGAAAACACACACAGACACATACACACAGAATACCACACACACAAAAACAGACAGATTCATTCATTCGTCATTTCATGTATTACTTAAAAATAATCATGTTGAAGAGAAAACTCTGACATAAATCTAAATTATGGGATGCGATATTATCACTGAGATTATACTTTTGAGATCAAATGTTGACTGGAGTTGAGATTATGACACCTGCTCTATTATATTATCCATGTAATGATTTCTAACCAATTATTCACAAATTATCTCATAATTCTGTCTAGACCATCATTTTGAATCATTTCAAACTCATGATCATGACGATGTCAAACTTCAACGTCAGAATCTTTTTTATTTAATCCATTTTAACATAAAATTTAATTTTGAGATTTTCTCATTTCAATGTGACAATGTTGTAATAAAAACTTTAATCTCACAATAAACGACATTTTCCTCTAATACATCTTTACATTTTCTTTTTATTGGTTTTGTTATATCTATTTATTGAACAATACTTCCCTTTGTATCTTATAAACCACAAATTGGCTTCTATAGTTTTAATAACTTTAAGTGTGCTGATAATAATTAATAACTGAAGAGCCTTTTTAAACAAAATATTGTAAATGAATTAATAGTATTAACATCTAACCTCAAAATAAACTCATTTCTTTCAATCAAATCATACAAGTTTCTATTAATCTGATGCTTTACTTTCTTCACAATAAATAACATTATGATAATCAATCTATATCCAAGTCAATGACAATCCATCATTTACATTACCTGACAAAAGTCTCGTCACCTATCGAAGTTTTAGGAACAGCAAATAATAATAACTTGACTTTTAGTTGATCATTTGGTATCAGAAGTGGCTCATATGAAAGGCAAAGGCCTCTAGATTACGCCTATTTTACCAAAATTAAATACAATCATGTCTTGATTTTTAATGATTTAGTTAGGACAGTAAGGTCTGACTTTGCTTAGACAAAAGTCTCGTCACTGAACAGAAATAATGTCTCATGAGCTTGGAGGACTGCATCCGTACATCTCTGCAATGACTCAAATCAATTATTAATAAAGTCATCTGGAATGACAAAGAAAGAGTTCTTGCAGGACTCCCAGAGTTCATCAACATTCTTTGGATTCATCTTCAATGCCTCCTCCTTCATCTTACCCCAGACATGCTCAATTATATTCAGGTCTTGTTTCTGGGCTAGCCAATCCTGGAGCACCTTGACCTTCTTTGCTTTCAGGAGCTTTGATGTGGAGGCTGAAGTATGAGAAGGAGCGCTATCCTGCTGAAGAATTTGCCCTCTCCTGTGGTTTGTAATGTAACGGGCAGCACAAATGTCTTGATACCTCAGGCTGTTAATGTGGCCATCCACTCTGCAGATCTCTCACACACCACATACTGAATGTAACTCCAAACCATGATTTTTTCTTCACCAAACTTGACTGATTTCTCTGAGAATCTTGACTCCATGTGGGTTCCAATAGGTCTTCAGCAGTATTTGTGATGATTGGGATGCAGCACAACAGATATTTCATCAGAAAAACTACCTCCTGCCACTTTTCCAAATGATCTAGAAGATATTATTTGTTGCTCTTACAACTGGGATCCACGACAAGACTTTTTTCAGTGTATACATGTCCAAGTAGATTATATGACCCTGGTTTGATTCTTGATATTAAAGTACACCATCAAAAAGAAACTTGTGCTGTATTACTATATCATAATAACCGAGTTGTTGTGCAAATATGACGTTAGTTTACCCGCATTCAGTGTGATGAGTGCTGTGAAAGCTGGAGGACGAGGAACCAGTGGCGGATTTTGAGCTAAAAACACAACGAGAAGAAGAACTTGATTTAATCAGACGTCTAATGTTACACACAACAGAATCATGTAACTATAAACAACACTTAAGAACTGAGCTTGTACAGGCATTACACATAAACATCTGCAAATAAACTTCACCGTTTGCTCAAATGACTAAGGCTATGTTTACACGTGTGTATTTGTCATTTTAGGCATCTAATATTTTATCTTTATTTCATTATGACATGTTTTCTTTTTGTTGCTAGTTTAAACTAAGAAAAGTAAACCAAGAAAGCTTTATTCCCTACTTCTATCATATGACCAAATGTTAAGTATTTTAAGTTGGTTCCATGTTATAATAACAAAATCCAGAATGGCGTATAAATGTCACATGCAGACAATATATCTGCTAACATCGATAAAATGACTTTAATTGGTCAGCTGTACAGTTTGTCCCGCCTAATGCCCTAATTATTGAATGTGTTTTTGTATAGAAGACGTGCCTTTATAAAATGGATTTCTATTGGCTGGGTGCATTTTGTGCACTAGTTATGCACCACAGGCACCTTGCGTTCTAACGCTACAACCCTGTGCCACCCTATTCTAAACTACTGCATTGTTGTGCTTCACGTTTTTTGAACAAGTGGTCTGTGCACCTGTAGTTGAAACAAAAAAATTAGCTCTGTGCAAATAAGCACCTGACGTCACACGCTACAAAAATGAATAGATTTTTTTGCTAACTTAAAAATAACTTTTATTTTTTTCGATTCAATTTCATGCTAGACATATATTGCTTTTAACAAATAATCATTACAATTTGTGTGTTTTTTTAAATTGACTGTATATACAATTTTCTAGTATACAGTGCATCCGGAAAGTACTCATATCGCTTTAGTTTTTCCTTATTCTTTTATGTTGCAGCCTTATTGCATAATGAATTAAATTAATTTATTTCCCCAAAATTCTACACACAATAACTCAATGACAATGTGATTTTTTTTTTTAAATCGTTATTAATGTATTAAAAATAAAAACCTGAAAAATCATATGTACATCAGTATTCACAGCCTTTGCTTAATACTTTGTTGATGCACCTTTGGCAGCGATTACAGCCTCATGTCTTTTTGAATGTGATGCCACAAGCTTGGCACACTTGTCTTTAAGAATTTTTGCCCGCTCCTCTTTGCAGTACCTCTCAAGCTCTATCAGGTTGGATGGTAAGCGACTGTGTACAGCCATTTACAGATCCCTCCAGAGATGTTCAATAGGATTTAGGTCTGGGCTCTGGCTGGGCCACTCAAGGACATTCAGAGAGTTGTTGTCTTTCTGTAAGCTTCTTCTCTCTTCACAGAAGAACACTGGAGCTCAGACAGAGTGACCATCGGGTTATTGATCTCCTCCCTGACTAATGCCCTTCTCCCCCCATCACTCAGCTTAGATGGCCGGGTAGCTCTAGGAAGAGTCCTGGTGATTCTAAACATCTTCCACTTACGAACGATGGAGACCACTGTGTTCATTAAAACGTCCAGAGTAGCAAAATTTTTTTCTGTAACCTTCCCCACCCTTGTGCTTCGAGACAATCCTGTCTCTGGTGGTCTACAGACAATTTTTTAGCTTTTTTATTTTAATAAATTTGCAACAATTTTCCATTAAATGATGTGCACGCTTTCAGTTTCATTTTCACTGCTAAGTGAAACGTAAAAACGTAATCGACAGAATCGTGATCGCTGAATCGTCTAGGGGAGTTGAATCAAGATCGCGATATTTTTTTCGATTAATCGTGAAGCTCTAGTATCAGTGTGTTAATCTTAAGGATATCTATAATCTACCGTAACAAAACAGTGACAAAATCTAAAGTTTGCCACTTTGACCTAAATCGAACGATTTAGGCGAAATTCACCTCCTGCTACAATTTCTCATCAAATTCTCTGACCAATGAAATGCATTCTAGTGTCAGACATGCCCCGCCCCTTTCTTAATGCTCTTGAGCTTAATCATTCTCACTGGCAGAGCAGGGATCAAAACAAAACACTATTGGCTGTTTTTTTTAATAAAGGGGAGGAGCTACTATATGCCCCGCCCTCTCATCGTGTATTAGTGCAGATTAAGTCAAATTCCACATAAAAAAAGCCACATTTCAAGTGTACCTCTTAGTGCTCCCTGATCCCGTGGTGCTGCCAGGGCTGCAGTTGGAAGAGGAATGATGATGATGATGATGATGGTGACGATGATGATGGTGGTGACGATGATGAATGCTGTCATTTCCACTGCTGGAGGTGTGGGTGCTGTTCATGTCCACATCCTCATGCGTCTGCTCTCCTCCGCTCTCTTCACACCCGCTGCTTCTCCTTCCTATCCGCTCCTCCGCCTCTTCCTCCTCTCCAGATGCGGAAATGTTCCCGCTGGTCCCGGGGTCTTGGCCACTACTGGTTTGGTCCGTCTGGCCCGTGTGTATGTCTGGGCCTGGAGAAGAGTTGTCCTGCTCTCCATCAGGAAAGCCGTCTCCCCCTGGCATTCCCTGTGAGATCTCCTGTCCTCCTCTACTGAAGATCTGATTCACAACCCAGATGATCTGCTGCTGATGTCCACATTAACAATGACAGTCTATGGAGAAATCCATCAGGATTGTGATGACGACGTTTTACTGGTGCTTATGTAGAGTCTTCCATTGAAGAGCCTGCAGAAGAGAAACAGGTAAACTATAAAAATGTACTGCTATCAGGGCCGGAGTGGGACTTCTTTTCAGCCCTGGAGTTTCAAGCCTTAGACCGGCCCACCTCAGTTCAAGACTGACTATATTAAAATAAGGTAATTTCCAATTCAGTTTCTAATGACACTATCACGTCTGTTTTATTAAGGACAAAGCTACTTTAGAACTTGAAATGTTTTTCATAAATACGAGAACATTAAAGGGTAGCTAAATCTCCCAACACTATTCTTTAACCAGTTAAACTCTGCGGACATGGTACCGGGTCCGTGACGTCATCGACATTCGCTTTCAGATTTACAGGGCTAGGATTGCACCAGACCCCCATAAGTGGTTTCGTTTGAAAGTGTAGAATCTATATTTCATACACATATGCATCACTTTGGTTTTTACTCAACTGTACAAAAGTTATTTACACTTAAATACACAGTATTTTGGATACCCGAGCTAGGTATTTTACATTGGTTCATTTTCATATTTTTCCTATGACACATGTACAAGTTATAGCTCAAAAGAAAGCTCTTGCCGAAGCTCATACGGTTCTAGCACTCTTTTTACTGAATTATATTCACAAATCAAACAGTTGTCGAATGAATCCCTGTGTTTCCGTGGCGCAGAAGTGAAAACAATACATTTATGATCACTAAGCAGCCCAAGATAGCACAGACAGCTGTCATCTCTCACCTTATGCTGTGCCCTTCAGGGCCATTCTCCTCTGTTTTTGAGGTGATGTGCATAAGTAATCCTTTTATATGTCTGATGTGGTCCAAACACAGTGAATTATGTTTGATCAAAAAAAAGAATAGTGAAATATGAAAACAATGATCGGTTTCTGTGGCTTGTACAGCACATCTCATCAGTTGGAATGCAATAACTTTTGCATAGATTATGGTGGAGACCTTTTTCTTTTTTCCTATGATTACAGACATGTGCAGGAACCACCAAAATTAGTTACAGCACGCTAGACCACACAGAACCTAAAAGGTACACTTTCAAATTTGAGTTTATAAAAAAAAAATACAAAAAGCGCCTCTTTTTTTAGGTGTTTATTATAACACAGACAACATATACACTTACTATAAACCCTTTCAATAGTGTTTTATGAAAATTCAAAGTTTTTTTTGATAATAAAAATAATACATTTTAATAAATAATAAATTAATAAATAATAAATTTTAGCATTTACACCTCTGCATGTGGATTTGGGAAGCTTTTAAATGTGGGCAGGCAAAATCCAGGCGGAAATCCCAAAATAACAGCAGAGTTTAACTGGTTAAAACATCACAATGTTCTTTCCTGCAATATCTGAATATATATTCTGTACAAAATTCTTTATAGATATCCAGTCCTTTGTAACGGTGGTCACACAAAAAATAAAAATAAAATATGAACACCTACATAAGTAACTCAAACAGTATTATATGTCTTAACACTAAAAATTAAAAAAATAAATAAATAACTCAGGTGAGGTTTGACTTTGATCTTGGGTCTGCGGCATCGTAACGCAACGTGCTGATCACTAGACAACAATGGCACTGTTACTTTCTATTAATGGCTTAATCTTTTTCTCCCCTTTTTTAGATTTATTTTTGTCAGATTTATTAATGTAGTGAATCATATGATTTTCATCGAACAAGTGTAATATTCATCAATATCAATTATTCGAATTCTTATATTCACTAAGGTGCCGCTGTTTACAAGAAAAAAGGAGCGCGATATGCTTTTTTTATTTTGTTAGGCAACGACTGGATCAGCTGGGTATTTTGCGAGAGTGTTGCTGTTGATATTAGTATAACTTTATTTTCAGGCTCATTGTTCACATTAACACACTCATAATAACATGACTTGGAATAACAAAGACTAAGATTCTTCTTCCGTTTTATCTCATATAAATATGAGCATATTAATACAAGCTCAAATGACATTGTTGTGAATTTGACTCAAATTATATAATAGTTGCTGATTAAATGTGTTCATTTTATATATACTTTCAATATATACTTTCCATGCATACATCCACTTTAAAAAGTTCATTTTATAATGATTGATCTGTATTTTCTAAAAGAAGTGCAAATTAGATAAGGGTAAATTTGACTGAATAGCAAACTTTAAGAATTATTTTTAACATGTTAATATAGATTTTTTTTCTATCAGACAATATCTTTTCTATTCTCCACTGTAAAAATGATTACATTATTATTATTTTATTTTATGAAGATTGATAAGTAAATATAAATAGCAGAGCAAATTCATTTGACTCAATAATAATTATTTTAAAAATCTGTTTTGTGTTAATCTGACATGTTTCTGTCCGATATAACATGTTCCATGCATACTGCCACTATAAATAAAAGTTATTTTTCGAAGAATTTGACATGTGGACCTTCACTTGGTTTGCAAAACTTGATGTGGCCCTCAGGTCTAAAAAGTTTGTTGTTTATTGTGTTGTTATTGTCTAAAGGTTTAATGTGCTGTAATTTTACATCTACAGTCTGAGCTATAAAATTAACACAGATTAGTTGATTTCACAAGATTACATCTTATTAATTGATCAAATTGACAAAGAATGAGTCGTATAATGTTGTTTTGCGAATACGGTTTGTTTAGTATGAATTGAATCATACAAAATCATCCACAAGCTGAAGATTCACTAGTGAAAATTGGTTACATGGCTGTCAAAAAGTACTGTCAAAAAGCATTTTACACAATCATTACAGAAAATATCTGTGCTGTCGAACCTTTAGAAAACATTTAGCAAAACACATTGACATGATGATATAAAATTGCAGCTGACTGACAGCGAGTTATGTCTAATTTAAGGTTAATTAAGTAGAGGTGTGCAATATGCATCATCAATGTTTGACCAATGTGTAATCTGACATTAAACTACATCTCTCGCTTTACAACAACAACCGATATTGAAAGAGCATTTAATATGTGATAAAGCCTATTAGAAAATAATTTCATTTAACTAAGTCTCAAAAACATCCCTGTTTGGGTTACGTATGATACAGCGATGATGTACTAGCAAATGAAACATTGCTGACAGAATATTGGGTTCAGCTTTTCTACACCAAATGTCATGTTTGGATGTCCTTCACACTTATTTAACGAAAGAGATTTTTATTTATTCTTATTTTTAGTGTGGGCTAATGTCTCGCTGACGTCTCTGAGCGTTCTATATTCTAGGCTGTGACCCGTCTGTGTAATGACTGCTGCTGTTTGTACAGCGACTCTGACGCAGTCTTTCTCAAAATAGGCCGTGTCACAATAGCACTGGGTCAGGTATTAAACCCAAACTACTAAATACACTTGATAAAAAAACAGGGTTATTTTAAGACATGGTGCATAAACCTTCCTACAGAACTAAACATCTAAAAGCACAAACAGCAAACAACCCTGAGTGAATTGTAGGAAATATGAACGTACATATGAAATGTATCAATTTGGGACAAGCCGAATTAAAGTCAAACAGAGTGCATTTCACAGAAGAGGGTGGGAATTGGTGCTAAATATGTGTAATAACTCGTGTGATTATATAACGCTGCACACGTAAAAGCATGCGCTTAATTATACCGCAGAGCTTCTTTATCATGTCTCTTGGCTTTTCTATAATGGATTGGGTGTTCGGTAACAGGTAATAACGATCTTTATGGATTCTGCATTCTACTGTCAACAATAAAGCGCTAGATTTATCTTTACAAGCTATTGACTGACTTTTTTCACACAATAAAAATAAAAGATAACGCATATGTGCCGTTAGGCTGCAGAGCATTTGGTGAATCTCCTAGAGTTAGTTAAATAAAACAATTAAATGTCCTGTTTTTGTTTTGTTTAGATGTTTTTTTTAGTTTGGATTGTGTTTTCAGTCGAATTACGGCAAAGTTTGTTTGGAAGCAGACAGATTCACCTTTTTAATGGTCTCAGGGCTGCACGATATTGGAAATTTTTGACATTGTTAAATTGCGATTTAAATACAGTTTCACTAGATGACTTAAATGGCTCTATTTTTAAAGTCATTACTTTAGATGGATTGGGATGATTTTGTAAGGAAGTGAAATCTTAATATATTTTTATGTAGTTTATTATATACAGTTGAAAGCAAAAGTTTACATGCACTGTATAAAAAGGCACATAACTGTTTAAAAAAGTCAGATTAAGAAAATTAGGATTATCAAATTTGTTTCTGTTCTGCTTAATAGCAGAATAATGAGAGATATTCTTTGAAAAATTGTTATAACTTTTCTTGAAAGTCAAGTTTACAAACAATACGATTATTATGCCTCTGAAAAAGCTCAGATGATGGTGTCAAGGTTTTGGAAGTTTCTGATTGGCTAATTGACAACATTTGAGTTAATTGGAGGCACAACTGTAGGAGGCACAACACACTGCTTCCTTGTGTGACAGCATGGGAAATTCAACAAGCCATAATCAACAAAACAGCCAGATTACAGTTTGCTAAATTACACTGGGACAAGAATAATTTTTGGAGACATGTCCTGTGGTCTGATGGAACTAAGATTGAACTGTTTGGCCATAATGACCAGTGTTACATTTGGAGGACATTTAAAACATTGCTGTGTGTATGCGGTTGTGTGCTCATAAACACAACTTTGATGAGTAAAATTGTCAAAAACTGTGGAATATCCAAACTAATATCTGCTGACCAACTGTTAGTCACACTTACAGATATTTGACTGAATGGAATATGCATATTTGGCGAGCTGTCCGGGAAGAGGTCCCTGAACTCAGAAATACACCTAACTCATGTTATTCCCCTTATCAGGACAAAGAGAGAGACAGGGGTCCGAGCACAGTATCTAGCCCAGCTACAGAATGCGGAGGTAACCCAGCTACAACTGAATGAGGTGGTCTCTGCTCGATTGAAACAAACTTTAGAGCGGATCGGTTGTAGTGAGAAAGCAGTACGATCCAATGAGCTAACGAATCAGGCTAGATCACACTGTATTATGGATATGCAATAGGCATATTTAAAAGACAGAATTACGAGTAGGGAGTAGGGTCATCATTCCTACTGGAATTCATGTCAAATGTTCAATTCAATTCAATTCAATTCAGCTTTATTTGTATAGCGCTTTTACAATGTAGATTGTAGAGCTGTGAACCTACACTAGTCTCACGGTTCGGTTACGATTATCATGCCATCGATTCGGTTTAATTCGATATTTCGGTGCATCACGGTGCATTGACGATGCTTTCCATACACAGTTTTATATTTTCTTCACAGCAGCACTTCTTGTATTAAAATGTATGAATATATTTATATTTATATACTATTTGTAATACAATTTTGTCATTTAATACAAACAGTCAGAAATATAAACAAAATGAGCATTTAGCAAATAATATAAACAAATATAAATATCCAGCTCAATTTCTGATCCTTGTCTAGTTCTCTTACACCCCTTTGATTGGTCACACCCTAAAAAAAAACGGTTGCGATTGGCTGTTGCGCGCTGCGCTCTTCACAGATGAGTGACACTGATAAGTGGCGGGCGGTAGCGGCGATCTCACAGCTGTTGTATGATACGCGGCTGATGTATGATAAACTCTGCAGACACGCGCTCGTTTCTGTATGCAAAAGTAACGCTGTAAAACAGCCGAGAAGAGAAGAAAAGCCACGCCAGCAGGTCAAATGGGCCCCAGTGTGTGAGTGAGAAAGAGAGAGAGAGACAGAACGAGAGCGAGAGATGAAGTAGGCTACTTTCATTCTCTCGATCTCAGTGAAATAGGGGCTATTGTTGTATAGGTCAGTGAAAGACTGATCCAGCAAACACACACAGTGAAATTATGCACAGTTTATGAGTTTTAAGTAGTTGAAGCGCTGTAAATACTCGCAATCGCCTCCCTCGTGACAGAGCGCATATGAGGTAAATGACGTCAGTAATAACCGGTTATGATTATTACTGAACCGATACCGAATTGTCCGCATCTGCATCGCAGTGCACCGAAGAAACGATTAATTTTGACACCCCTAGTAGATTGTGTCAAAGCAGCTTCACATAAATGGTCATAGTAACTGGAACAGGGTAGTTCAGTTTTTAGTGTTTAAGTTCAGTTCAGTTTAGCTCAGTTCAGTGTGATTTAAAATCATTACTGAGAGTTCAAACACTGAAGAGCAAATTCATCAATGCGTAGCTCTACCAATCCTGAACCATGCGAGCCAGTGGCGACAGCGGAGAGGGAAAAAAAACTTCACCTGATAGGAGTGAAGGAAACATGCTGAAATATTACCGAGAGCTGTTTATCAGTTAGGAAAATTGGCCGAACTGCAGTTTTAGTTTATCTGTTATTTCTCTCTCTAATGTAAAGCCTATAATGCATAATTCTAGCCGAGGCTATGTATGAGAAAGTCTTACCTCTGATTTCTATTTGGCAACGATGTCTGTGGGTGTCAGTTTACTCCCGCATGACTTGTTTTAGCGCTTTTGGCCCGTTTAGACAGCGAACCGCACTAAGAGCAACCTTGTAACAATGTTAATCCCTGTTTCAGGAAAGAAAACAATCGATCTACTGGTGTGAAAGCACCCTAAAAAGAACTTACTGTGGAGCAGTAATCAAAATATAGTGATACCGTGATATTTTTATCCAAGGTTATCGTTAGTGATGGGCCGTTAATGAACGATTCGTTCATTTCGGGAACTACGAGTCCTCTCGGGGATTGATTCGTTCATCCGCGCATGCGCACATTTGTGCAGGTGGTACCATTCATTTTAAGCCTTTTGAGTCGTTCATCGTGGAAAGGCAGAAGCCAATCATATGCGTTCAGAGCAGGAAAAAGAACTGATCCATTCATTTCTCTAGTCCTCTATCTGGTCTGAGTCATTCGTTCCTCGCAGGCCAATCATATGCGTTTAGAGCCGGAAAAAGAATTGAATGGTGAACTAATTATCAAGGCTCCTATCGACTCAGATTGTGTACATTGGTTAAGATTATATGTGACTGTCAGTGTAACGTGAATGAACCACTGACATTTGAAGACATGAAGAGGTGAGCTGAGCAAAGAGACAACAATACCTTCATAGACAAAAGAGCAGGTAAACATTGAATTATTATTTTCTCCTTCTTATAGGATTCTATTTATGACTTATTTGTTGTATGATCAATCTTTTGGGCTAGTTGTAGATGTGTTTGGAAGCCATTCATAACATTTTAATAATATTTTGGCAAATTGAATTAAATGAACGAAATGACTCGAAAAAAGATTCGTTCATCTTGATGAACGAGACTCAAAGATTCGAGTCAGTAAAATGATCCGAACTTCCCATTACTAGTTATCATACCGTTAGAAACTTGGATGAATGGTTACTGTTTTTCAGGAGTCGTTTTTTGGCTGAACTATTACTTTAATAGAACCATATGTGGCAAAGTGTAAACATTTTATGACACTTCGTAAAGTTTTTTTTTTTCCATGAAAAGAAAAATATGCACACACTTTTAAATATATATTTTTTAATTATCAAACTAAATTCTATGACACTCAGATAGCTGACATCACAATGATTCGCAGTTATAAGAAACCCCTCCACACTCATGCATAAATCACCATTATATCACATTATAATTTTCCTGATTTTCCAGCATAAAACTTTTGTTTGGATGTTAAAATTGGCCAACTCTTTCACAGGTTACATTTACAACTTTAAAATTGTCTAAGATCTATCCTACTGTTAGTCCAGCATGCAGTAGACGCTCAAATTCACTAACCACGACAGCCCACATGTTTTGGTTCTGCCCAAATCTAGGGAGGTTTAGTAAAGTTATTTTTTAATCTTTTAATTATATGCATGGTTTTCTTATTGAACCTGAACCCCTGTTGGCAATTTTTGGAAACAGTCCCGAAAATATTGTGCTTAAAGAAGAAATATGTAGAGTAATTGCTTTTTACCACGCTATTGGCAAGGCGTTTAATTCTTCTGTATTGAAAAAAAAAACTGAGGCCCAACACATAGTCGATGGATCGTGATGTATTTTATTGAGCTTGAAAAAATCTAATTTGCTCTGAGAGGTTTAAAAAAATATATTTTTTTAAAACATGGTCTCCCTTTCTTACATACAGACAATTTAGAATTTTTAGGATATAGGAGGATATATAAAATATCATATAATCCCAAAACGATCCCTTTTTTATTGAATTGTTTTTTTTAATTCTTTTTATTATTCCTCTTTTATCTCACTGTAACCTTGTAATGCCTTTCACAATGGCAGTGCGTGTAATAAAGGTATACAGAACCTTCCTTTTATTACAAACTGAATTGTTCACTTTTTTCGTGTAACGTATATCTTTTTGCATTTTCCTTTTTAACATTTATTCATCCGTTTGTCATTACTGTATTAAAACTGTGTATGCACCCTCTATGTACACTTGCTGTGCACTTTTGTGACGCTTGAGGACTTTATGTTTGTATACTGTTAGCTATGTATATCTTCTGTTAAAGCCAAAAACGGGATGGGGATATTTGTTTATATGTTTTGTTTTGTTGTTGTAGACTGTTTGTTTTTTTCTGTTTTGTGCAAATGTATAAAAAAATCCTTATAAAGTATTTTTTAAAAATGGGCCAATTCTGAGACCATGTACAGCATCATAATTACTATAGTAAAGTGCAATTGCACTAAAAATGTAAGATGATTATAAAAAAAATGCATCTAATATGTTGCAAAGTTGGAAATATTAACAGTTATCCTGCTCGGTGTGAGCGCTAGTGGTAGAAAAACCCACAAAGTTGATTGTAAATTTCATTGACTAACTGATTCTGATGGAGAAATGGTTGTGCCTCACTGAGCCAATGTTTTTTTTTCCCTTCACTTTTGTCAAATGGTGAAGTTTGTTCCTCACCACTGGCTTGCTTGCAGTGTTTGGACTTTCAGCAGTGAAAATTAAACTACACTGAACTGATCTAAACTGAACTTCAACTCAGAAAACTGGACTGACACAGTTTCAATTTACTAGAAGTTTCATGTTAAACTGCTTTGACAGAATTTACATTGTAAAAGCGCTAGAGACATAAACATGAAATAGTTTCTTAATCCATTCACAAACATCTAAATCTCAAGTTGAACTATGAAACAGATAATTGTTCACAATACATAGCCCATCAAATGGTCAATAATAAACGATATCATTTAAAACAGACTTATTCATTAAAATGATCAGGAATTAGTTTAGGAAGTCATTAAAACACGTCATGATATCTTATTCTAGATCACATTCATAATGTTTCACAACACTATATAAGCAAAGCAACTACAGAACCATGCCATCAACCATGCCATAACTCAGATCTCACCCTTGGTCTCTTTAAACCTGCTTAAGGATGCACAGGGAGAATAAACATTCAACAATTCATCCAACATTCATAACAAACCCACAGAATGTTATTTGTGACACTGACGCGCGCCTCCGCCGTGCACATGCACAGACACGAGTTTGGGTTGAGACAGATATTATTTAAATGCCTTTACGTGCAATGAGCACCTTACAAAGACATCACAACATCACCAAAACACATGAACATTCAAACGAGATATGAAACGTATAATTCAGTATTTAAATTCGATAGGCAATGCGCATGCGCTGTAAACATAAGCCAAAGCGAGACGTTTACAAAGAGCAACAAACAGCAATGATACAAAATATCGACAGTATCATGGTTAAGAGCGGATAATTATGCGATAAATATAATCACTAGTGTAATTTAAACGTGGTATACTTTAAAACGTAGAAGCTAACGTTAATCACAAACCGTAAACGTCGCGTGTCTTCCTTTATGAACATGTCTTCAGCATGACTGCACTATTAAAACTATAGACCGCTTTCGTTTGCTTGAAGTGTGTATAAAATCAGTACTTACTTGATGTTTACGTTTACGTTTAATCACTTGCTCCAGTTTCTTGAGCGTCCCTCCATTACTCCGCCAGAACGCAACACACTGTCCAACGTGAGGTTGGCCGACGGGAGCCACGCCTGCTCGATTCCCATTGGTGCAAAGGTTTCCTTGTAATCGTCTGATTGGTCGAGGGGCGTGGACATGACGTTAGTCTAGCAAAGGATGCGGCGCACTCACGTGTATGGCCATGTTATACAATAGATGAAAACAATGGCGTAGTGGCGGCGATCTCGCGTAGTAACGAGCCGATAGGAGTAAAACCTGGGCTTACAATGTACTAGTTCCATCATGAATTTAGGGTCTTAAACATTTCTTTAACATTTAATAAGATAGCGTCGTTTTTACGAGAAAGAATAGAGAATTACGCTGCGCCTCGAGGTGACATGAATTAAGTAGATCAAACGCTTAGTGATCTACTTTCCCGCTCGCCGTTAAAGCCCAGTGTTATTCACACACGCGTTATTAATATGATTTTTTCCTTGTTTGTGTACAGGGTTACACCTACTTATTAGGAAAACTCAATACTAATAAGTTAGTTGTTAAAGAAGATTGATTTAATTTGATGTTATTTAGTGAGGGATTCGCCTCATTTTGCAATGCGGAAGCAAACTTTTTATTTTGCTAATGTTAAGACCTTCAACTTATTGTAATTTTTTAGTCTATTATCCCTTTAACTGCCTGCTCCATTTAATGGTTGACCACATTTTGACTGTTAAATAATTACGGTTAATTTAAAGAATGATTGAATAGTTTACACTACACAACATTGTTGGTTTACAAAAAAATCGTGAAAAATAATGCTACACTTGACTTTGGTTTTATTATAATAACAAAACAAGAAAACATGTTAAATGAAAAACTGAAAGATTTTATAGCATACTTAAAAAAAATCAATGTGATTTAGTATTCAAAAAATTGTTATTTTTAGAAAATAATATTTCTTTATATTTATATAGAGCTTTTCTAGACACCCAAAGCGCTTTAAACATTGGGGTGAATCTCATCCACCACCAGTGTGCAGCATCCACCCAAATGACACGACAGCAGCCATATTGCGCCAGACCACACCAGCTGATTGGTGGAGAGGAGACAGAATGATGAAGTCAATTATGATATGGGGATGGTTAGGAGGCCATGATGGACAGAGGCCAGTGGGAAGATTTGGCCAGGGGTTAAACCCCTACTCTTTTTCAAAGGACATCCTGTGGTTTTAATGATCACAGAGTCAGGACCTTGATTTAACATCTCACCCGAAAAGAGTCCCCAGCAATATACTAGGGCAGGGGTCATCAATCTCGGTCCTGTGTACCTGCAGGGTTTAGCTCCAACTTGCCTCAACACACCTGCCTGGATGTTTCTAGTATACCTACTAAGACCTTGATTGGCTTGTTCAGGTGTGTTTGATTAGAGTTGGAGCTAAACTCTGTTGGGCACCGGCTCTCCAGGAACAAGTTTGGTGACCCCTGTACTAGGGCGTTAGGACCCACAGAGACTGCAGATTAAGTGCCCCCTGCGGTGCACATGTAGGTTGAATTGAAGGAGCATCACTTTATTTTATTTTTATTTTATTTTAAATTAGTGGTAGGGACATTTCAGTAATTGGTTTATATCGGTGGGAACAAGGCATGGTATAAGATTCTGATGTTATGATAACCTTGGATAAAAATATCACTGTTTCACGGTATTGTGATTACTGCTCTAATATATATTCTTTTTAAATGTTTGAGTAAAAAGCAAACACTTTTTTTCCCTTTTGAACACAGCATATTTTATATTGAGAAACATGTAAAATATTTTGAAGTATTAAACATGGTAGGCTGAATGAATTATTGAATTTTGCGCTCTTCATTTGTTTCAAAAACAGATTTTTTTACAATTTAAATAGCCTCATTTCTGCTGGAGAAACTGTTGTCCTAAAGAAAAAAATAAACTTAAAAAAATCTCACACATACCTTATTGCAGATCATTTAGATGGTTTTAAAACCATGACTTATCCAAACTGTGGTATACCTTGAAAACGGTTTTCGTCCCATGCCAAGTGGGGACATGTCCCCATTGTCCATGCCAATTCTACGCCCTTGCAACAAAGTATTAAAAAGTGAAAGTTTGATTTATGATTGATCTTCTTTCCAATTACTTTTGGACCCTTAACAAGTGGGAAGCACATATGCAAACTGTTGTAATTCCTACAGCGTTCACCTGATTTGGATGTAAATACCTTTAAATTAAGGCTGACAGTCTGCAGTTACAGCACGTCTTGTTCGTTTCATTTCCATTGTGTTGGTGTAAAGAGCCAAAAATTTTACAATTGTTTGTCCAAATATTTATCGACCTAACTGTGTGTTTTGGAAACTCAAAATGATTTTTTTAACACTAGCACTTGATATTTTCAGATTTTTAATAGTATATGTATTAATTCTGGTACTTCAACCATAAACTGACATATCAAGCATTTGGTAGAGGCTGATATTTTAGAAATTAAGGGATGTGTGGGAAAAAAATGCATTGAGTGTGTTAATTAGCGACATGAGGAGTTAAGTAATGCAATTCAAATGTTTTTTTATTTGGTGGGGCAGTTAAAGGGTTAATTACAAACAATATCACTTGAGCTAAACAATGTTTTTATGATATTACATTAAAATAATTTTCTAAAATAATTTAATTTCACAAGATGCCTTTATTACTGCTAATGATATAGAAGTATCAGACCAAAAATCAGAATACTACTATAAAACATTAACAGCAAGTTACCTAAAAAACAAGGTGGATAGAAACTTAAACTGTTAAATGTTGTTTCTGCATCTGTTTTAGCATTAAGACATTTTAAAGTTCATTTTTGGTTGCACATTTATATTTCTCATTTGTGAACACTTGAGAACACCTGAGTTCACGAGTGAGAGAACGATGGAACGTGAGATTGATGGGGATTGGTGCAGCAGTGATGCGGTCGATGTACCGGTGCGTTGTGGTAAAGGAGGAGCTGAGCCGAAAGGCAAAGCTCTCAATTTACCGGTTAATCTACGCTCCTACTCTCAACTATGGTCATGAGGTTTGGGTCAAAGACAAGATCTCGGATACAAGTGACCAGAATGAGTTTTGTTTGCATGGCGGAAGGGCGCACCCTTAAGGTGAGGAGATCTGTCACCCGGGAGGAACTCGAAGTTGAGCCGCTGCTCCTCCACATCAAGAGAAGTCAACTGAGGTGGCTCGGGCATCTGTTTCGGATGCCTCCTGGATGCCTACCAATTGAGGTGTTCCAGGCATGTCCCACAGGGAGGAGGCCTCGGAAAAGACCCAGTACACTAGGGGTTTCACGATTTAGATTTTTAATCGAAATCGATCGAAATTTATGCTCAATTTCGATTATCGAATTAAAAAATAGAATCGTCGATGCTGCCACACCCCCATGTCACGTCAGCTTGGCTTGCCAAGCGGGAAAAAAACAGGCTTGTGGAAGTGCTTGTTAAACTGCAAAAGCAGGAGACCCGTCGACAGAACTTAAACCCTCTCCTCTTTCAATGAAGTCGCCGGTGTGTAAGCATTTTGGATTTCCAGTGAGTTATGTTGACAACGTTCGTGTTGTCGACAAAAAAACCCCACAGTTTTGCAAGCTCTGCTATTTACGTATTACGTACGGTTCGTCCGATAGACAACACTGGCATCGCGTTCCTCCGTCCACCCCCGTTGCAAATCCGCTCGCGAAAAGTACACACTCAGGCCCTGTTTACACTGTCTTTGTTTTTAAATGGCATTTTAGAACGACAACGATTTGACATCCACAGTGGCGTGTAGCGTTTCTGAGCAGCCCTCCTTCCTCTCTACCTCTGAATGCACATCACATGACCACACAGACACAGACGCACACACAGCCATGCGCTCGAGACAGCAGGTCCAGGCAGTCAGAGGACTGCTTCAAGCTTTCACTCACTTGTACTTAGTCATTTTAGCGAACACCTCAGATACTGTTGGCTGGTTCCTGTTGTGCGTCTTTTTTACCGACGCCATTATAACGACACAGATCACTGCCCATTCACGAGTCCCGCAGAAAAAGTGATTGACAGGTGGTAATTATGTGTGTATCTTGCCTTTATTCATTTACTGTATGATTTGTTTATGGGTAAAACAAAGACCATGCAGGTCAGGTGGTTTAAACGGTAGGCTACAAATAATTAATTGGTCATTAATTAATTAATTATTCATAATCGAATCGAATCGTGCCTTTAGAATCAAAAATGTAATCGAATCGAGGATTTGGAGGATCGTGACACCCTTACAGTACACGCTGGAGGGACTATATATCTCGGCTGGCCTGGGAAAGCCTCAGGATCCCCCGGAGGAGCTGGAGGAAGTGTCTGGAGAGTGAAGTCTGGGATTGTCTCCTAAGACTGCTGTCCCCGTGACCCGGCCACGGAAAAACGGACGAAAATGAATGAATAAATTTGTGAACACACATTTTGTAGAATATAATAATAAAACATGGCAAGAAACAAAATTAAGGTGAGTACAAAAGGATGTTAAATCCTGGGTTTATTAAGCCAACTTGGGGCAATTCAGTTTGTAAGGCCACAGTATAGAATTGCACTTGTTTACAATTTATACACATGTGAGACATACAAAGAGACACATACAAAATAAGCTCAAACATAGCATAAAAAAGTTTTGGCACCGTGAGCAAGAGGTGAAGAAAGCCCCCCAAAAATTCAATACTACTGAGATCTTGTTAAGCGAAGCTATTTCTAAGCAAATTAATTCTACACAAGGCAATAGATATAAGGCAGTTAAATTACTAGCGAGTGATCACTTCAAAATTCAATAATATCTCAATCTTATATATAATATTTCTGTGCAGGTGTTTCATTAGAGGTTGGCAGTGGAGTTTATCTGCTGGTATATCTAATGGCACGTCTGTGGTTGTTCAGGAAAGGCTCTCATATCATGTTGACACAGAAAGAGTGTCTGATTTCAGCAGTCTGATAAAATACAGTCCACGAGGAACTCAGATGGCTTTCAAAACAAGAGTTTAGATGGGTTTTGGTCGATATATTAT